TTCCTAAAAAGCAATGATTAGCCTTCAATTTTGGAATTTTTTGACTTTTTTTCGTTAAGAAAAAAGAAAATTGCCAAAATGTTTACCATTGTCTCTAATACCCTCCGGGAGTCCAATTGGATGGAACCATCATATTTGCCTTTAAACGACCAATTTACCAGTTTACAACTTGCGTCGATTTCATTAACTCAAGCCTACCACAAACATTTATGTCAACATATAATGATCTGATATGGTTCCAAACAGCATTATATAACCCCGAGTTGTATCCCCTAAAATCTAAAGGCTTTTCGACACCGTATTCTAAAACCTCCAAAATTTCTCAAAAAGCGTGGACATTAGCCCTTAATTTTGGAATTTTTTACTTTTCATCGCCCGAGAATAAAATTTGCCAAAATGTTTGCCATGATCTATTTTACCCTCCGGGAGTTCAATTGGGTGGGTGGAACAATCCTATTTGCCTTTAAACGACCAATTTACCTGTTTACAACTTGCACTGATTAATATAACTCAAGTCTATTATGAACATTTAAGACATCATATAATCATAATATATGGTTCCAAACGACATTATATGATCCCGAGATGTATCCCCGTAAATCTCAAACTTTTCGACACCGGACCTCGAAACATCCCAAATTTCTCAAAAAGCGTGGATTTCAATTTTGGAATTATTTGACTTTTTTTCTTCCGGAAATAAAAATTGCCAAAATGTTTACCATGCTCCCAAATACCCTCCATCATTCCAATTGGGTAGGTGGAACCAACCAATTTGCCTTTAAACGACCAATTTACCGGTTTATAAATTGCACTGATTTCATCAATTCAAGTCTACCACGAACATTTATGACAACATATAGTGATCATTTATGGTTCCAAACGGCATTATATGACCCCGAGATGTATCTCCTAAAATCTAATTTCTTTTCGACACCAGCCCCCCGAAACCTACAAAATTTCTAAAAAAGCCTGAATATTAGCTTTCAATTTTGAAATTTTTTTACTTTTTTGTGCCCAGAAATAAAAATTGTCGAAATGTTTACCATGGTCCCTAATATCCTTTGGAAGACCAATTGGGTGGGTAGAATCATCCTATTTGCCTTTAAACGGTCAATTTACCTATTTACAACTTGCACCAATTTAATTAACTCAAGCCTACGACGAATATTTATGACAACATATAATGATCATATATGGTTCCAAACGGAATTATAAGACCCCGAGATGTATCCTCTAAAATCTCAAACCTTTCGACACCGGGCCTCGAAACATCCTAAATTTCTCAAAAAGCGTAGATTTTAATTTTAGAACTTTTTTTCCTTTTTTTGCAAGGAAATAAAAATTGCTGAAATGTTTACCATAGTGCCTAATACTCGCCGGGAGTCCAATTGGGTGTGTGGAACCATCCAATTTACCTTTAAACGACCAATTTATCGGTTTACAACTTGCACCAATTTCATTAACTCAAGCCTACCACGAACATTTCTAACAACAAATAATAATCATATATGGCTCCAAATGGAATTATATCTCTTATAATTTCAAGAATTTTCGACACCGGGGCCCGAAACCACCAAAATTTCTCAAAAAGTTTGGATATTCTTCAATTTTGGAATTTTTTAACTTTCTCTTGTCCGGAAATTAAAATTGTCGAAATGTTTTCCATGGTCCCTTATATCCTCTTAAAGTCCAATTGGTTGGGTGGATCCATCCAATATGCTTTAAACGGCCAATTTACCGGTTTATAACTTGCACCGATTTCATTATTTCAAGCATACCACGAACATTTATGACAACTTATAATAATCATACATGATTCCAAACGGCATCATATAACCCCGAGTTGTATCCTCTAAAATCTAAAGGCTTTTCGACACCGAGTCCCGAAACCTCCTTAATTTCTCAAAAAGATTGGATATCTTTCAATTTTTGAATTTTTTTCGCTCGGAAATAAAAATTGCTGAAATGTTTACCATAGTGCTTAATACCCTTCGAGAGTTCAATTGGATGGGTGGAACCATCCTATTTGTCTTTCAACAACCAATTTACCGATTTTTAACTTGCACTAATTAATATAACTCAAGCATATTATGAGCATTTATGACATCATATAATGATAATATATGGTTCCAAATGACATTATATGGCCTGAGATGTATCCCCTTATCTCAAAAGTTTTCGACATCGCGCCACGAAACATCCCAAATTTCATAAAAAACGTGGATTTCAATTTTGGAAAATTTTAACTTTTTTTGCACGAAAATAAAAATTGCCGAAATGTTTACCATGGTCCCTAATCCCTCCAAGAGTCCAATTGGGTAGGGAAACCAATCAATTTGCCTCTAAACGACCAATTTATTAGTTTACAAATTGCACCGATTTCATTAATTCAGGCCAATCACGAACATTTATGACAACATAAAATGATCATTTATGGTGTGAAACGTCATTATATGACCCCGAGATGTATCTCCTAAAATCTCATTGCTTTTCGACACCAGCTACAAAACCTTCGAAATTTTTCAATAAGCATAGATATTAGTCTTCAATATTGGAATTTTTACTTTTTTTCTCCCGGAAATAAATATTGCCGAAATGTTTACCATGGTCCGTAATATCCTTTGGGAGACCAATTGGGTGGGTAGAACCATCCTATTTGTCTTTAAACGGCCAATTTACCGGTTTATAACTTGTACTAATTTAATTAACTCAAGCCTACTACGAACATTTATAACAACCTATAATGATTATATATAGTTCCAAATAGCATTATATGACCCCGAGATGTATACCCTAAAATCTCAAAAAATTTCGACAACGGGCCTCGAAACATCCTAAATTTCTCAAAAAAGCGTGGATTTCAATTTTGGAATTTTTTTTTTTACTTTTTTTCGCCTGGAAATAAAAATTGCTGAAATGTTTACCATGGTCCCTAATACCCGCCGGGAGTCCAATTGGGTGGGTGGAACCAATCCAATTTGCCTTTAAACGACCAATTTTTCGGTTTATAACTTGCACTAATTTCATTAACTCAAGCCTACCACGAACATTTATAACAACAAATAATGATCATATATGGTTCCAAACGACATTATATGACCTCGAGATATATCCCTAATAATTTCAAGAATTTTTGTCACCGGCCCCGAAACCTCCAAAATTTCTCAAAAAGCGTGGATATTAGCCTTCAATTTTGAAATTTCTTGATTTTTTATTGCCCATAAATAAAAATTGCCGAAATGTTTACCATGGTCTCTAATACCTGCCGGGAGTCCAATTGAGTGGGTGGAACCATCCAATTTGCCTTTAAACAACCAATTTATCGGTGTACAACTTGCACCAATTTCATAAAATCAAGTCTACTGCGAACATTTATAACAACAAATAATTATCATATATATGGTTCCAAACGACATTATATGACCTCGAGATATATCTCCTAAAATTTCAAAACTTTTCGACACAGGCCCGAAACCTCCAAAATTTCTCAAAAAACGTGGATATGCCTTCAATTTTAGAATTTTTTGACTTTTTTTTCTTCGAAATTAAAAATTATTGAAATGTTAACCATGGTCCCTAATACCCTCTGGGATTCCAATTTGGTGGATGGAACCATCCAATTTGCCTTTTAACGGCTAATTTACTGATTTACATCTTGCACTGATTTCATTAATTCAAGCCTACCGCGAACATTTATGACAAAAAATAACGATCATATATGGTTCCAAACGACATTATATGACCCCGAGATGTATTCCATAGAATTTCAAGACTTTTCAACATCGGTCCTCGAAAACTCCAAAAATTCTCTAAAAGCGTGGATATAGCCTTTAATTTTTGATTTTTTTGATTTTTTTTTCGTATTGAAATAAAAATTGCCAAAATGTTTACCATGGTTTCTAATATCCTCCGGGAGTCCAATTGGGTTGGTGAAACCATCTAATTTGCCTTTAAACAGCCAATTTACTAGTTTATAACTTGTGTCGATTTCATTAACTCAAGTCTATCACAAACATTTATGACAATATATAATGATCATATATGGTTCCAAACGGCATTATATGACCCCGAGTTGTGTCCCCTAAAATCTAAAGGATTTTCGACACCGAGCCTCAAAACCTCCCAAATTTCTCAAAAAGTGTGGATATTAGCCTTTATTTTGGAATTTTTTACTTTTCTTCGTTCGGAAATAAAAATTGCCGAAATGTTTACCATGGTTTTAATATCCTCCGGGAGTCCAATTGGGTGGGTGGAACCTGGAACCTTCCTATTCTTTAAATGACCAATTTACCGGTGTACAACTTGCACTGATTAATATAACTCAAGCCTATTACGAACATTTTTTACAACATATAATGATAATATATGGTTTCAAACGACATTATATGACCCCGAGACTTATTCCCTTAAATCTTAAAACTTTTCGACACCGTGCCTCGAAACATCCCAAATTTCTCAAAAAGCGTGGAATTCTGTTTTAGAATTTGTTGACTTTTTTTCGCCCAGAAATAAAAATTTCCGAAATGTTTACCATGATCCCTAATTCTCTCTGGGAGTCCAATTGGGTGGATGGAACCAACCAATTTGCCTTTTAACGGCCAATTTACCGGTTTACAAATTGCACCGATTTTCATTAATTCAAGCCTACCACGAACATTTATGACAAAAATATAATGATCATTTGTGGTTCCAAACGGCATTATATGACCTCGAGATGTATCCCGTAAAATCTCATTTCTTTTCGACACCAGCCCCCCCGAAACCTTCGAAATTTCTCAAAAAGCATGGATATTAGTCTTCAATTTTGGAATTTTTTACTTTTTTTCGCCCAAAAATAAAATTTGTCGAAATGTTACCATGGTCTCTAATACCCTCTGGGAGACCAATTGGGTGGGTGGAACTATCCTATTTGCCTTTAAAACGACCAATTTAACGGTTTACAACTTGCACCAATTTAAAGAACTCAAGTCTACTACGAACATTTATGACAACATATAATGATCACATATGGTTCCAAACGACATTGCATTGCTTGTCTGATTAGTTAAATTTTTGTAAGGCTAACTTGTAATAACATCAAGGGCTTTGTAACATATATGTATGGTCTTTTCTGCCTCTACACACATAAATGAATTTAAGAATTCTTTTTTTAAACCTTTGAAGTAAAGAATTTCCCTCTGCATGAGTTGGATCAGTGATGTCTTTAGGATTTTTTGCATGCTAGAGGGATTAATAAAATATTACATTTATACTCCTGCTAACTCAGAAGTAATTTTAAATTGAGTTCTAAAAACAAACTAAAATGAGTATAATTTTGGTGGGTTTTTTTTTTTTCTTTTTTTTTTTTTTTGGGGGGGGGGTGCAGGGCAATGGAACATTATCGAGCTTCAAGCTCAGATAATACTGAATCAAGATTACAAAAATTCAAATGTTGTGAGCATGGAGTTGCTTGACTTGACTCTGCATCTGGTTTGGTGGAATACGCCGGCCTTTTTGGAATCATAATGTGTTCAATTTTGTTATTGAGAATGGCTGAAATTTCCAACATGGATGGTCTATCCTCCTGCTTTTCTTGAACGCATAGTAGAGCTACTTGCATACATCTCATTAGCTTATATTTTGAATTTGAATCATCTAATGATGGATCCGCAAACTCCTTGCATTCATCTTCTTTCCACAATTCATATGCCTATTCAACAACCATATATATTTTTCAAAATTAAATTTTTCATATACAGGATTTAAATCTCACTATATAACTTAGTTGGCTGCTTAATTACTTGCATATTCCAAGAGGTTGTATCCTTCATTAGCACCATAGAATTGGTTATTTCTCTTACCATTTATGATTTGTAGCAGCAGCACTCCAAAGCTATAAACATCATGTTTTCTTGAGTATACTCCTTGTTTTACATACTCCGGAGGGACATATCCACTGCCAAAATATGATTAATTTGTCAGAGTATGACCTAAATAATTGGTGAAGAACAAGAATACAGGCTTAACCATATACTCACTATGTTCCTACAATCTTGCTTGTATTTGCTTCATATTCATCTGTTTGGAATATTCTTGCCATGCCAAAGTCTGAAATCTTAGGATTTAAATCTTTGTCAAGTAAATTGTTACTAGCTTTTAGATCTCGATGTATGATCGTTAGCCTTGAGTATTCTTGCAGGTACAAAAGGCCTTGAATAATTCCTTCAATGATGTGAGCACGCTTTCCCCAGTCAAGCTGCAAACTTTTCACAGGATCTGTAATGATTTGAAAGACACAGAAGAATCAATAAGCTGGTAGAAACATTATGTCCATGTTTTCAGCAGTTCTTTGACTAGATTTGTTGTCATCGGTGAACTTAATCAAACAAAAGCTATACCGAAGAGATAATAATCCAAGCTGCTATTTGGAAGGTATTCATAAATAAGCATCTTTTCTTCTCTTTCCACGCAAAATCCCATCACCTTAACTAAGTTTATATGCTGAAGTCCTGCAGTGAGCATAACTTCATTCTTGAACTGCTCAAATCCTTGGCGTGATGCTTTTGAAAGTCTCTTTACTGCAATTTCCTGTCCTGTCTTTAATTTTCCCTGTAATAGAGGATAAGATGTTACTTTGGCTGTATTTTATGTGAGAAGGATGAGGAGGGAAATTAATTTTTCTCGAAAGAATTTTCCATTCAACTAAACACAGCCTTATTCGCTTATGAGAATCAAATTGACCTGACCTACACTATTGGTTTCAGTTTTTTCTTTGTTTTGGTAGGTATTTCCTCTCCCTCTATCCCTGAGACAGAGAGTTAAAAATATACTCTGATAATCTAAGACTCAGATACTGATTACTGAAGCAATGCCTAGTTTGCATACCTTGTAAACTGGTCCATACCCACCCTCTCCAAGCTTTTTGTGAAATGAAAATTTATCTGTGGCAGCATTTATATCCTTGAAATTGAATGCTTTCATGTCTGGTGAATCGTAACTGAAGTTTTGAGTGTCAGTCCTTACAGATCCTGTGAACACAGTACCCCAAACAGAAATTAAAAATATTAATATGATTGTTTTGTTATCTTATATTAAAATCTCCCGATTTCCTAAATTCATGCTGCTAAGCCTGTCATGCTTTAACTGTACTTACTGGTGTAATTAAGCAGTCTTTCTCTGAGAAAATAGAAGATTAAACTGAAACAGCAGATACAGGCCACAGGAATCAACACCTTAACTAAAACCAGCCTTTTATTGAGCTGATTCCCACCTGCTATATCAGCTGATAAACATACTCCGTGTTATTTTGTGTTTCTACAGTTTTAACATATGAAATAAATTATTCAGAATGCTGTACCATACAATTTGAATTACCTGCAGCCTGAGAGAGAACCCAGTTATCATCATTAGCAACTTGAAAGACATTGTACCCACGAAGGCCTTTCTTCTTAGCATACAAAACCTTAGTTTTGATTGCTTCCACATCGTCGAACCCCACCCAGAAAGACCCGAATGAGCAAGTATTCTCGACATTAGTAGAGTTGTACAAGCTCTTAGCTGCATAACTCTTCACAAAGCTCTTGATCCATCGGTAGCCCAGTGACCCATCTGAATTGATCCCTGGACCTGAAGCCGGAGCTCCAATCTGGTTATCCTTTGGATTTAGAAGGGTCCATACCCAGCCATGGTAAGGCATCCCTATCAAAATCTTGTTTCCGCCACTCATCGAAGAGTTTTGCCATGTTTATGGAGTCAGAGGTGGTGTTGGGCAGAAAACAACAGATGTCTAAACCATTGAAACCATAAGTTAAGGCTGTTTGAATGGAAGAGTTGATAAAAGCCTTCCTAGAGGAAGAATTGGAGATCATAGAGAAGAAGGTGTGTTTGATCCCATGATCTCCTATGGAAAGAAGTGTTTGGATTGAAGGGTTTTTTCGTTTAACAGTGGAGGTGAACGAAGCGAAGTATTGGAGGTCGGATGGAGGGATGGAGACGTGGTAAGTGGTGGAGTTTAAGCCGGCGAAACCACAATAGAGGTGGGTGAAGAGAGAAGAATCAATGTCAGGAGCCGGATTTGCACTCACTGTTAACCAGTAACCTGACCTGATCCATGATGTTTTTAATTCCATCGGCTGCCTCGCCATAGTAGACTCTAGTATAAAAAACAGTTGTACTAGAAATAGCAAGAATTTCATGAGATTGATAACGGTATATTCCATTGAAGCTTTACACAAGCTTAATAGTTTAGTCCATCATTCTTTAAAAGAGACAGGTTTAAGGTCCCCTTTATCTTTGAAGTTTGAACTTTGAAATTAGTTGCCTACTTGCGTGCATTATTTTCCAATGTAATACTTGGCACAGGTGTATAACATTGTGTATAGTTATGAAAATTGCGCCATTACTATTTTTAGTTGAAAATTGGGCCACTACTCTGTACTATTTTCAGTTGACAATTGCGCCATTACTATTTTTAAAATCGTAAGTACTACATCCGTTTCATATTATTTGAAACAATTAGATATTTTTCCTTTCTAATTTATGTCAAATTGTTACAAATAATATGAAACGGAGGTAGTCAATTAATCTGATGCATAGAAAGTTGAGTAGAAACTTCTAAGAAATCAATTTTTAAAGGCGAGACTAGTTTTTTAATTAAGCCCGATTTAAGCTCTAGTTTAGTTCTTGAACCCAAAATGCAAAGGAGCCTATTGGTAAACAGAATTTGAACATGCAAATTCTCTAAGAAAATTACTATTTATGTTATAAAATTTCAAGTATGTCTCATGAAACCTAAATTTTCTTATGAATCAGGTTAGACACTTTGAGAAAGAAGTGAAAGGAAGAAAGAAATGTAACTTGTAAATTGAATAAGTAATTGTTTACAAAAAAGGATTCCTTTACACTCATACGGTCGCACCCCATTACCACTTTTTTTACTCGTAATGTATTTTTTTTTTACATCCTTTGTTTTTACATACTAAGGGAGTAAGTGTTTGTTCTATTTAGCTTATTTTCAGTTTATTTTAGTTCAATCCAGTTCCTAATTTCCTTCTTTTATAAACTATTCAGTCCAGTTTAGCTCCAACGTATTCAGTTCAGCCTTGTCCAATGTATATAGTTATAAATTTATTATTTTTTATTTTTGCATATTTCTTTTTCACCCTTGTCAATGCACAATTTTATTTTTTTTTTATTTTTTTTTTGGAAGGAAGTCAATGCACAATTTTAACAATTAATATATCTAATTATAACATTGCAAAGTCATAAAATATTAATAAAATTTACATTGAAACGATTCAAACAGATTTCACGTGATTATGTTTTATCATATCTTTGAATCAAATAAGCTAAAATCAAAATGTGTTAACTTAAAGTAATGGAGGAATTATATTATGAATATTCATTCTCACTCTCATTTTAAAATTTCAACAAACCCCACTTACAATTTTACTACTCCCTGCGTTCCTAAATTACATTCCTCCTTTTTATTTTTGGTATTCTAAGATTACATTCCTCCTTTCTATTTTTGGTAAGTTTTTTTTAGTAAATCAACTCTCTTTTTCTGTTTTATATTTAATGTTTTTTCACTCATCCTTACCTAATCTCACTCATAATCCTTGTGCCAAATTACAATGAATATGATTGGTTGAAAATTTTCAATTAGAAGCATGTGATTGGTCCTTTTTTTTTTTTGCAAAGGATTGATGACATATCATGAGTAATAACTAATCTATCTTTGTACTTCCCATTGCATTATCTAATTATTGTTATTTGTCTTATTTTTTCCTCCTTAATTCCCGTGTAAATTTCCAAAGAGGAATGTAATTTAGGGACGGAGGGAGTAGATATTTTATCAAATTATACTCAACTAGTCAACGGCCAAAAATCACATGTAAAAATGTTGCATAAAAAAATACGTCATACATTCAATTAGTGACGATAATAACTGTATTTTTTTGGTAAAAGATTGAATAAAACTGTAAACTTGTGCACTTGTCTGCTGCATCAATGGCGTCGCCTTCACCATCAACAATCTCACCATTGTTAGTGCAACTCTGAGCTGCTTCTACTATAACGACGCTAACTTACCGCCAAATCGTCTTCCACTCCTTCTTAGAGGTAATTTGTTTTTCCCCGAATTTAAACTTCCAGATTTCGCGCCGATTATGTTAGGGTTTTAGGGTTCATGTAATCTGAGTTCTATTTTGGTGCTTTAATTAAGTTTTTGTTGAATTGTGGTTCTTTTTTGGTTTTTGTTTTGATTGGTATTCTTATTGTTGTTGATTTGGTAAATTGCTATCATAATTTCTGTCCAATTAATAGTGATTATCTTTTTAGTTTCTAACAATTAAATCTATTTCAGAATGAACTAGTAATTATGTTGTACAGAAGCAATTTTTTTTTTTAAAGGAAAACCTTGTCTCACTCTTACATGTAAGTGACTTTGATAAAATTGGCCTTTTGTTATGGAATATGGACTAGCATGTCAGGTGCCTATTAGGGTCAGTAATCGTGTCGCGTAATAATGGTGAAAGATCTTTAATTTACAAATAGAAATGAGCTCCTCAATATTGCTGTGGGAGGTTCAGCAAAGGCTGAAATAAATGGTGAAATGTGACCAGTAAGTGATTAGCAATTTGGGTCAACAGCTCAATTTTAGAAGCTCTGCTGTCCTCAATGTGGTATCAACTGCCAGATCATCCTGCAGCACTTTATCGAGTTGTGGGGGGTTGTAAACTTTGTTACAGGTTTAATTAGGCATCAAGATTGGAATATTGTGTGCACAACAATTATTTGCTAAATTACTGACAGTGCTACAGATTGTAAATATCATTGTTAACTGAAAACGACAAACTGGCAATAGTTTACGACACCTTGAAGTTTGAAGGAATTTAGATGGTAGCTAATCTAAAATGTTTTAGTGCATGATGGAATAGAAGCAATCTTGTTACCTTACCTAGCTGGTAACAGTCTGTTTGTGTTGTAACTTTGATGTACTTGTATGCTACTAGTTCTGCTTTAATAGATGCAAGCTGGGACTTTGTAAAATATTGAACTCCATGATCCTTAACCTGCAAGTCCACATATATGTTTTTTTTTTTAATCATATTATGGAATTGTTTCTTGGAAAAATTATACTCCGTACAAACATACTTTTTTTGATAAAAAGGAATGCATGATCCCTTTTTTTTTAAAAAAAAAAATCCTGGTAATCTTAGTTAGTTTGACCAAGCCCTTTCATGTCTAGTGGAATTGTCATTTGAGGGAAATGACGTGTTTATATTTATGCTAATGCTGACTTCAGTGCAGAAAGGTAGAACTAGCTGAGTATGCAAGTAACTTATTGCTGAGGTAGAAGATTGTTAGATCCATTTAGGTGCAGTACCTAACAGTCTTCAACTTAGGTTTACAGGTACAAGCTAATTTGATTTATAGGTGCAAGCAACTTTGTTTATGGGTGCAGTACTAAACAAATCAAGGCTTAGGTTTCTGCAAGAGCATTCTAGTTAGATATGTACTGTATTCTATTGATGGAGTTTCTGATCTGAATTTATTAGGCAACATATGCTAGCTGTTAGATTTCATGATTTTCTGGTCTGAATTAGCTCTCATCTCCAAAATAGAACGCAGAAGGCCAAAACCAATTGTGATTCTGTCACCAAACACTATGATTAACAAAGTAGATTACTCACTACAGCAACCCTTATCCACTTAGACTTACCCATCCCATTGCTCTTTCAACCCATTTCTCCTCCAAATCAACTGAGGATCCAAACTTTGTCCTGTAGATCTTAGCAGCATTTCTAAGCCCACAATCCTCCTTCTATTCCCTCAATGTATGTATTTGAAGCTTCTGGAGCAGTATGAAGTAGGGGAATGTATTGGCATATAAGGTGCTCCATGACTGCACCAAGCAAGTATAAGACTGGTGAAAGACCCTTTATAAAAAATTGAATTAAAAAAGAGAAACAAGTGTGAGGAGAGAGATATGGGCATATGGCTGCTTGTCTTCAAGGGTCATAGGCATAGAAGTAGGCAGGTAGGTTACTTTTAGGAGTATTGAATGGGAATGTGGGGTTTGAAATGTTGCGTGGTAATTAGTTAAGTCTCTTTTATGATTTTTGAGCTGAATTTGAGCAATGAGGTGACAAATTTAAAGGGTGTGAGATACTGGGACTTTTGGGAGATAAAAGCCAATTTGAACGAGAGAAGAATCTGATAATTTGATGATGATGCTACGTGGGTAGTTGTAGATGATGTTTAAGAAGTATCAAATTTGGCTTTTGTGATGCTGATATGGAGCAACTTGGTTCATATGGAAATATTTTTATTTAAATTATGTTGATTATTCTATTATAGATCACTCTTTTAAATGTTTTGGATTTGCTTTTTGTGAAAGTTTAATAAAAGCATGAAGAACATGTAAATTAGTTGTAAATGATCATGGTATACAAATGAGAAAGTTAAAGAGATTATAATATTTGATGTTTGCTCCTTTTTCTTCCTGTTAGAATTATAAAGAAATATGAATGAAGGAAGTTTTCTTTAATATAATGACAAGCAGATTGATTATGTAGACTGTGACTACAGCTGCACTGACAGCTTAGTAGCTTATCATCTGTAATGCTCTGTATTCTTTACCTTTTTATTGGAAGTTCAGATGGCTGTAAATAGGTAACAGAACGCTGGATCTTGATGATTTCAAAATTGCTCATATTTTAATTACGTAAGTGAATTCAGCTTGTATTTAATGGGTCTGATAGGTGCTGTACCAAAGAACAATATGGAAGATCCTCAACCTGTTAATAGCCCAAGAAGAGTTCTCAGCCTGTCAAGGAAAAGGAAAGGTGCTGGCTCTTTCTTAAATGTTGATAATAAAGCTTCTGGATTGGGTGTATCTGGTCAACATGGTCCAAAACCAGCTGAAGTATATGGCTTTGTGGGTTCTATAACAACTATTGTTGCAACAGGTACAGTTAACCGTCGTGCCATTGTCTCATGGATTTTTCTGGTTGTGATTCGTTTGAGCTTCTTGGAATAAAAAGGAAAAATGTAAACTAATAATCCCACCTTTAGTCGGTCTTCCACAAACAATCCCACCTTTTGAGATTCTAGAAATAATCCCACCTTTGATAGGGATCTTCCACTAACAATCCCTTTGACCTACAACCTGTTAAACAGGTTAAAAAAAATTCCCTTTGTTTTTAAAACTTAATCTCTTCTACGACCACCAGCCACCACCGTGGTCACCCCAACCCTCACCCTTTACCGCCACCTCCACCCATTAGGCCACTACGAAACCCCCAACCACGCCGGAATACCATCACCACCCCCAAAACCCGAGCCTCACTCAAATTACACCACCCACAACCTCGAAAACACCACTGACTGCCCCCGAAAACACCATCCACAGCCCCAAAAACACCATCGAAAGCCCCCCAAAACACCACCCACAGCCCCCCAAAACACCACCCACAGCCCCGAAAACACCGCCCACAACCCCAAAAACACCACTGACTGCCCCGAAAACACCATCCACAGCCCCGAAAACACCCACAGCCCCGAAAACACCACTGACAGCCCCAAAATAAACACCATCCACAGCCCCCCAAAACCACTAACACCCCTGAAAACACCGCCCACAGCCCCAAAAACACCACCCACAACCCCAAAAACACCACTGACTGCCCCGAAAACACCACTGACAGCCCCAAAATAAACACCATCCACAGCCCCCAAAACCACTAACACCCCCGAAAACACCGCCCACAGCCCCAAAAACACCAATGATAACCCCGAAAACACCACCCACAGCCCCAAATAACTCCTCTTGGCCCTAAAAACTCAACCCTTAGCCTGAAAAACTCCACAAAAACCACCCCATGAAACCCACCTATACAAAACCCACCACCCCCACAAAACCCACGCCTACAGCCCCACAAAACCCAAGTACCACCCCGACGAAATCCCACCCCCACGAAAAATCTCAAAACTCCGTGTGTTCGAATTACATCATCGTTGAACTCCGGGATTGTGCGAAATTGATGGTTGTGGAAGGGGTGTGCGACTGGTGGTGTTTTCAGGGTGGTGGTTGCCGGAGAATGCAAGGGCGGGGATGGGGAGAGGAGTGCAGTGGCAGGCTGGGCTAGTGGCGGGGCTGGGGGTTTTCTTCTTTATTTTTTTTTTTTAATTAGATTTGTTTTTTTTTTTAATTATTAAAAATCGGACTAAACCTATTAAAAACCTACACGTGTCTTTTAACTTAAGAAAATCGGTTACCAAATCAATCCAACCGGTCAGGGATTGTTAATGGAAGATAGGGGCAAAAAGTGGGATTATTTCTGGAATTTCAAAAGGTGGGATTGTTTGTGGAAGACCGACTAAAGGTGGGATTATTAGTTTACATTTTTCCATAAATAAATCTGCTGAGATCTGCAAATGTTGTGTTCTTTTTTCTTGGTATTTACTAACAGAATTTTTGTTATATTTGTTGAACAGCTATATTCTTCATATGGGCATATGCTCCTGAGCAGTGGTTGCATTCTATTGGGATCTTCTACTATCCTAACAGGTGAGCTGTGCACTTGTTAAACTTTGACTGTAAATAAACTAAGCATAATCTATAAGAGCACCCTCTACTACCTCATTTAGCAATGCCTCCATGGCTTAAACAGAGGCATACGAGCTCTCAGAAGAGTTAAAACCTTACTAGGAAAGGATTTTTTTTAGTCTGACAGCAAAGGTCGCAAGTCATCGTGTTCTTTATCCCCTTGCCTTGAAACCCTAGATGCATCAAGCCTTAGGCATTGGAGAACAAATACTGTGTTGGCAAGCAAGTTAATAGTCTACTTTTAATGCTGCTTGACAAGTAGAGCTGTCAAAAGTTAACCTGTTCCAAAATACCGACTCAAACCCAATTATTAACCAACCCATCTAAACCCAAAAAAATGGTGACCCTGACCCGACCTGAAACCAACCCTAGACCCGGGTATGTGAGACCCGAATCCGAACATGAACTGACCTGGAGATGACCCGATCCGAATGTAACCCGTAAATTATTGACCTGAACCAAACTCGACTTGAACCAAATTGACCCAAACCCGTTTTAACCCGTCAAAACCCGAATTTTACCCGACTTGTTACTAACCTAACTTGAATTCATAACCCGACCCGAATTAAACCCAACCTGTTACAAACCCGACCCGAAATCAACCCGACTTTTTATTGACCTGACCCAAATTCAACCCGTCTTGTTATTGACCTGACCCGAATTTTATCCGATCGGTTACTAACCTGACTCGAAATCAACATGATTTGTTATAGACTCTACCTAAATTCAACCCAAATTGTTCCTCACCCGATTTCAAATCACCTTAAATGCAATTTAGACCACCGTATTATTGTTGATCAAGCATTTTGTCTAGGGAGACCAAGTCGATCAGTATAAGAAAGGAGCATCATCCTCAAATTTAAGAGTTAAATATAGTATATATTTGTTGTATGGTCAAAGGAGATAATTATCTTCCTAAATTATAAACCATAGTTCCCTAGTATATTGCCATAAATATTATAGTCAAAGGAAATAATTAGCTTGATAAAAATGATAATTATCTATTTATAGTAAGTTAAACCCGAATATGACCTGACTAGGAAATGACCCGACTTGATTGTAACCTGCAAAGTTATTGACTTGAACATAACCCGACTTGACTCCGAGAATGACCCGACTTGGAAATGACCCAACCTGGTTATAACTCGCAAATTAATGACTTGAACGAACCGAACCCGACTTGAACCCGAGAATGACCAGAGTTGATTATAACCCGCAAATTATTGACTTGAACCGAACCCGATTCATACCCGAGAATGACTCGACTTGATTCTAATTTGACCTGTTATTAACCAGACCCAAACCTCATAAAAAGTATGACCCGACGTGACCCAAATAAACCATGACCCTACCCAACCCAACTCGCATAGATTATGGAATTAATCCGAGTTGACCGACACGAGTTGACCCGACCCACTCTTACCTACTCAAACCCGACCCGCTTAACCGAATTGACAGCTCTTCCCGAAACCTCCAAAATTTCTCAAAAAACATGGATATTTGCCTTCAATTTTGGAATTTTTTTTGACTTTTTTTTCACCCAGAAATAAAAATTGCCGAAATGTTTACCATTGTCCCTAAGTCCAATTAGCTGGGTGGAATCATCCAATTTGCCTTTAAATGACCAATTTACCGGTTTACAACTTGCACCGATTTCATTAACTCAAGCTTACCACGAATATTAATGACAACATATAATGATCATATATGGATCCAAACGGCATTATATGACTCTGAGATTTATCCCCTAAAATCTCAATGCTTTTCGACACCGGGCCCCGAAACATTCGAAATTTCTCAAAAAGCGTGGATATTAGCCTTTAATTTTGGAATTTTTTGACTTTTTTTCGCTCGGATGTTAAAATTGCCGAAATATTTACCATGGTCCCAAATACCCTCCGGGGGTTCAATTAGGTTGGTTGAACCATCCAATTTGCCTTTAATCGACCAATTTTCCGGTTTACAACTTACACTGATTTCATTAATTCAAGACTACCACGAACATTTATGACAACAAATAATGATCAAATATGGTTCTAAACGACACTATATAACCTCAAGATGTATTCCCTAGAATTTCAAGACTTTTAGACACTAGACCCCGAAAACTCCAAAAATTCTCAAAAATCGTGGATATAGCCTTCAAATTTTGAATTTTTCGACTTATTTTCGCCCGGAAATAAAAATTGCTGAAATGTTTACCATGGTCTATAATACCCTCCAAGAGTCCAATTGGGTTGGTGGAACCATCAAATTTGCCTTTAAACGACCAATTTACAACTTGCACCGATTTCATTAACTCAACCCTACCACAAACATTTATGACAACATATAATGATCATATATGGTTCCAAACGGCATTATATGACCCCGAGATATATCCCTAAAAATCAAAAGGCTTTTCGACAACGGCCCGAAACCTCCAAAATTTCTTAAAAAGCGTGGATATTTAACCTTCGATTTTTGAATATTTTTACTTTTCTTCGCCCGGAAATAAAAATTTCCGAAATGTTTATCATGGTCCCTAATATCCTCTGCGAGTCCAATTGGGTGTTTGGAACCATCCTATTTGCCTTTAAACGACCAATTTACCGGTTTACAACTTGCACTAATTATATTAACTCAAGCCTATTACGAACATTTATGACAACATATAATAATCATGTATGGTTCCAAACGACATTATATGACATCGAGATGTGTCACCTTAAATCTCAAAAAATTTCGACACCAGGCCTCAAAACATCCCAAAATTCTCAAAAAGCGTGGATTCAAATTTTGGATTTTTTATAATTTTTATTGCTCGGAATTAAAAATTTCCGAAATGTTTACCTTGGTCTATAATACCCTCCGGGAGTCCAATTGGGTGAGTGGAACCAACTAATTTGCCTTTAAACGGTCAATTTAACGGTTTACAACTTGCCCCGATTTCATTAACTCAAGCCTACCACAAACATCTATGACAACATATAATGATCATATATGGTTCCAAATAAAATTATTTGACCCCGACATGTATCCCAAATCTTTTCGACACCGGGCACCAAAACCTTTAAAATTTCTCAAAAAGCGTGGATATTAGCTTTCAATTTTTGAATTTTTCGACTTTTTTTCTCCCGGAAATTAAAATTGCCGAAATATTTACCATGGTCCCTAATACCCTCATGTAGTCCTATTAGGTGGGTGGAACAATCCAATTTGCATTTAAACGACCAATTTACCGGTTTTCAACTTGCACTTTTTTCAATAACTCAAGTTTACCGCATACATTTATGACAACATATAATGGTCATTTATGGTTTCAAACGTCATTATATGACCCCGAGATATATCTAATAAAATCTCATTTCTTTTCGACACCTGCCTAAAATCTTTGAAATTTATTAAAAAAAAATGTGCATATTAGCCTTCAATTTTGGAAATTTTTTTTACTTTTTTTCGCCCGGAAGTAAAAATTGTCGAAATGTTTACCATGGTTCCAAATACCCTATAGGGGTCAAATTGGTTGGGTGGAGCCATCCAATTTGCCTTTAAACGACCAATTTACCGGTTTACAACTTGCACCGATTTCATTAATTCAAGCCTACCACGAACATTTATGACTAAAAATAATGATCCTGAGATGTATTCCCTTAAATTTCAAACTTTTAGACACTAGGCCCCCAAGAACCCAAAATTTCTCAAAAAGCGTGAATATTAGCCTTCAATTTTTGAATTTCTTGACTTTTTTTCACCGGTATATAAAAATTGCCGAAATGTTTACCCTGGTCCCTAATTCCCTCTGGGAGTCCAATTGTGTGGTTGGAACCATCCAATTTGTCTTTAAACGGCATATTTACCAATTTACAACTTCCACCGATTTCTTTAACTCAAGTTTTCCACGAACATTTATGACATCATATAATGATTATGTATGTTTCCAAATGGCATTATATGACCTCGAGATTTATTTCCTAGAATTTTGATACTTTTTGACTCCGGGCCCCCGAAACCTCCAAGACTTCGCAAAATGCGCGGATATTAGACTTCAAAATTAGAATTTTTTTACTTTTATTAGCCCGGAAATAAAAATTACTGTAATGTTAAACTATGGTCCCTAACACCCTTCGTGAGTACACGTCGCTGAATGGAACCATCTTATTGTCCTTTAAATAGCCTATGTATCGGTTTATAACTTGCACTGATTTCATTAACTCAAGCCTACTACGAACATTTCTCAAAAAGCGTGGATATTAGCCTTCAATTTTTAAATTTTTTTATTCTTTTCGCCCAGAAATAAAAATTACTGAAATGCTTACCATGGTTCCTAAAACCCCTCCCGGAGTCCAATTTGGTGGGTGGAACCATCCAATTTGCCTTTAAACAACCAATTTACCGGTTTACAACTTGCACCGATTTCATTTATACAAACCTACCACGAACATTTATGACAACAAATAATGATCATATATGGTTCGAAACGGCATTATATGACCTCGAGATGTATCCCATAGAATGTCAAGACTTTTCGACACCGGATCTCAAAACCTCCAAAATTTCTCAAAAAGCGTGGATATTAGCCTTCAATTTTGGTTTTTTTTTTTTACTTTTTTCACTTGAAAATAAAAATTGTTGAAATGTTTACCATAGTCCCTAATACCCTCCGGGAGTCCAAGGGTGGGTGGAACCATCCAATTTGCCTTTAAACGACCAATTTACCGGTTTACAATTTGCACCGATTTCATTAACTCAAGCCTACCACTAACATCTATTGACAACAAATAATGATCATATATTGTTCCAAACGGCATTATATGTCCCCGAGATGTATCTCATAGAATTTCAAGACTTTTTGACACCAAGTCTCGAAACCTCCCAATTTTCAAAAAAGCGTAGATATTATCCTTCAATTTTTTAATTTTTTGACTTTTTTCGCTCGAAAATAAAAGTTGCCGAAATGTTTACCATAGTCCCTAAAACCCTCCAGGAGTCCAATTGGATGAGTGGAACCATCCAATTTGCATTGAAACGGCCTATTTACCAGTTTATAACTTTCACCGATTTTATTAACTCAAGTCTACCACGAACATTTATGATAACAAATAATGATCATATATGGTTCCAAATGGCATAAAATGACCCCGAAATGTATCTCCAAGAATTTTAAGATTTTTCGACACCGAGCCCCGAATTCTCCAAAATTTCTCAAAATACGTGGATATTAGCCTTCAATTTTGATAATTTTGACTATTTTTTGGCCCGGAAATAAAAATTTCCGAAATGTTAACTATGGTCCCTAATACCGTCCAGGAGTCCCATTGGGTGGGTGGATACATCCAATTTTCCATTAAATGGCCAATTTACCGGTTTACAAGTTGCACCGATTTCATTAACTCAAGTCTACCATGAATATTTATGACGACAAGTAATGATCGTATATGATTCCAAACAACATCATATGAACACGAGATGTATCCCCTAAAATTTCAAGACTTTCTACACTGGGTCATGAAACCTCCAAAATTTCTAAAAAAGCGTGTGTATTAGTCTTAAATTTTGGAATTTTTTGATTTTTTTCGCCCGAAAATTAAAATTGCCGAAATGTTTACCATAGTCCATAACACCATTCGGGCTTCGGGAATCCTACAGGGTTAGTGGAACCATCTAATTTGCTTTTAAACGACCAATTTACCGGTTTACAATTTGCATCGATTTCATTAACTCAAGTCTACCACTACCATCTATGACAACATATAATGATCATTTATGACCCCGAGATGTATCTCCTAAAATAATAATGCTTTTCTACACCAAACCCTGAAACCTGCAAAATTTCTCAAAAAGCGTGGATATTAGCCTTCAATTTTAAATTTTTTTGATTTTTTTCGCCCAGAAATAAAAATTATCGAAATGTTTATCATGGTCCCAACTCCCAAATACCCTCTGGGAGTCTAATTTGGTGGGTGGAACCATGCAATTTGCCTTTAAACAACCAATTTACCGAATTACAACTTGCACCGATTTCATTAATTCAAGCCTACCACGAACATTTATGACAACAAATAATAATCATATATGGTTCCAAACGGCATCATATGACCCCAATTTGTATCCAATATAATTTCAAGACTTTTCAACACCGGGGCTCGAAACCTCTAAAATTTCTCAAAAAACGTGGATACAAGACTTCAACTTTGGAACTTTTTTTTACTTTTTTCGCTCAGAAATAAAAATTGCCGAAATATTTACCATGGTCCCTAGTATCATTTGGGAGTCCAACTGTGTGAGTGGAACCATCCAATTTGCCTTTAAACGGCCTATTTACCGGTATATAATTTGCACCGATTTTGTTAACTCAGCCTACCACGAACATTTGTGACAACAAATAATGATCATATATGGTTCCAAACGGCATTAAATGACCCCGAGATGTATCCCCTATAATTTCAAGACTTTTCGATACCGAACCTTAATCCTCTAAAATTTCTAAAAAAGCGTGGATATTAGCCTTTAATTTTGAAAATTTTTACTTTTTTTCGCCCATAAATAAATATTGCCGAAATGTTTATCATGGTTCCTTATACCGTCCGGGAGTCCCATTTGGTGGGTGGAACCATCAAATTTGCCTTTAAACGACCAATTTAACTGTTTACAACTTGCAACGATTTCATTAACTCTAGCTGACCATGAACATTTTTGACAACAAGTAATGATCATATATGGTTCCAAACAGCATTATATGACAAACGAGATGTATTCCCTAAAATTTCAAGACATTTCGACACCGGACCCTTAAACCTTCAAATTTCTCAAAAAACGTGGATATTAGTCTTAAATTTGGGAATTTTTTGACTTTTTTCCGCCTGCAAATAAAAATTGCCCAAATGTTTGCCACGATCTCTAAAACTCTCCCTCCGGGAGTCCAATTAGGTTGGTCGAACCATCCAATATGCCTTTAAACGGCCAATTTAATTACCGGTTTACAACTTGCATGGATTTCATTAACTCAAGCCTACTTCGAAAATTTATTACAACATATAATGATCATATATGGTTCCAAATGGCATTATATGACCCCGAGATATATCTCTTAAAATATTAGTACTTTTCTACACCGGGCCCACGAAACCTTTAAAATTTCTCAAAAAACGTGGATATTAGCCTTCAACTTTGAAATTTTTTGATTTTTTTTCGCCCGAAAATAAAAATTGCCGAAATGTTTACCATGATCCCTAATACTCTCCGGGAGTCCAACTGAGTGGGTGGAATCATTCAATTTGCCTTTAAACGACCAATTTTTGCACCAATTTCATTAATTCAATTCTATCACGAACATTTATGACAACAAATAATGATCATATATGGTTCCAAGCGGCATTATATGACCCCGAGATGTATCCTATAGAATTTTAAGTCTTTTCGACACCGGCCTCAAAACCTTCAAAATTTCTCAAAAAGCGTGGATATTAGGCTTCAATTTTGGAATTTTTTTATTTTTTTTCGCTCGGAAATTAAAATTGCCGAAATGTTTATATGGTCCCTAATACCCTCCGGGAGTCCAATTGGGTGTGTGCCCGTGTGGAACCATTCAATTTGCTTTTAAACGGCCAATTTACCGGTTTACAACTTGAACCGATTTACCAATTTACAACGGCCAATTTAATTAACTTGCACCGAACCCGACTTGAACCGAAATTGACCCGAACCCGTTTTAACCCGTCAAAACCCGAATTTAACCCGACTTGTTACTAACATCACTTGAATTCAACCCGACCCGTTCCTAACCCGACCCGAATTTAACCCAACATGGTACAAACCCCACTCAAAATCAACCCAACTTGTTATTGACTTGACCCAAATTCAACCGGACTTGTTATTGACCCGTCCCGAATTTTACCATACCTATGACTTACCGAACCCCAAAGTTCATCCTGATTTGTTACTAACCTGATTTGAAATTAACACGACTTGTTGTTGACCCGACCTAAATTCAACCCTAATTGTTTCTGACCCGATTTCAAATCACTTTAAATGCAATTTAGACCACCTTATTATTTTTTATCAAAGCAATTTGTCTTCTGAGACCAAGTCGGTCCAGGCCAGCAAAAGAAAGGAGCATCATCCTCAATTTTAAGAGCTAAATATAGTATATATTTGTTGTATGGTCAAAGGAGATATTTATCTTCCTAAATTATAGACTATAGTTCCCTAGTATATTGTCATATTCTTCCTCCGTTTTCTTTTAGATGCAACACACCCTTTAGCGCGGTATTTAAGAAAGGTGGGGTTTACATGATACTCCCTTCGTCCCCTTTTGATAGTCCCTTATGGGCAATTTTCACGGGAATTAATAAACATAAATAAGAATAGTTAAAATACATTGAAAAAGTAAATTGACATTGGGTATGCAAAAAAGTAGAGAGAGAAAGTAATAAAAGTACATGGGAAAACAAAATTTACATGGGAAATTTATATTTGCACAAGTATTGTTGCAAATTAGATGGAATTTCGGTAAAAAATTAATATTAATGGTTGTTGGAAAAAGCAAATGGGGTAAACATTTTGGGACCAAAATTTGCCCATAAGGGACTATCAAAAGGGGACGGAGGGAGTATAATAAACTTTAAAATAGGATAAGTGGTTGTTAGGAGTGTAATTTAGTGGGCCATGTGCTTTAAATAAGGGAAATAGTATAGTTTTCCCTAAAGTAACTTTCCTTTTATAGTGTGTTGCAAGTATTGTGACATTTCCTTTTTAGGAAAGTGTTGTGAGTAAAAGAAAACGAAGGAAGTATATTATAGTCAAAGGAAATAATTAGCTTGATAAAATTGATAATTATCTATTTATAATTAGTTGAACCCGAATATGACCTGACTTGGAAATGACCCAACATAACCCGACTTGAATCCGAGAATGCCTCGACTTGGAAATGACCCAACTTGATTATATCCCGCAAATTATTGACTTGAACCAAACCCGACTTGAACCCGAGAATAACCCGACTTGAAAATGACCCGACCTGATTATAACCTGCAAATTATTGACTTGAATCGAACTCGAATCAAACCTGAGAATGACCCGACCTGATTCTAACCCGCAAATTATTGACTTGACTCGAACCCGAGAATTACCCTAACGCGTTTTACCCCGTGAAAACCCTAATTAAACCCGACCTATTTTTCACCCGACCCGAATGTAACCCGACCTAATATTAACCCGACCTAAACCCAACCCAAATCCGATAAGAAGTATGACCCTACGTGACCCAACTCAAGCATGACCTAACCCAAACCCGACCCGCATAGGTTATGGAATTAATTTGAATTGACCCAACTCGAGTTGACCCGACCCACTCTTACCCGACCCAAACCTGACCCGTTTACTCAAATTGACAGCTCTATTGACAAGTGTTGGTTACACTATAACCTTGCTATTGAACCTGCTGCCCATGCATCAGTGCATGGTCATTTGGATTTCTAGTGCTATCCCTTGTGTGATTTTGGTTAGAGTTTCAAGTTCTAACACAGTTGAACGGCAACCTATATATATGGAAATATGCTAATGTTTGTTTCTGATTCTAGGTACTGGGCTGTAGCTGTACCAACGTATTGCATGGTCATTATAGTCTTGGGACTGGCATTTTATATAGGCCTCAACTTTATGGCAACTCCTTCCCCAACTTCCTTGAATGTGATTTATGGTAAGCTACCTTTTCCTGCTGGAAACCAAGTCAAACTTCCCTGAATGTTTCCTCTATCCTGCATTGTGGAGGTTAGATATGACTTTTAATGCTGTTTTGCTTGACAGATGAGCACAGCAGAGACCCACAAAGTTTCATGACATCAACTGCTGAAGATGATCAGCCTATTGAACCTATCTCGGATATTGGCATCAACCAAATAAATAAGCTTATGTTTAGAGACTTGAAATGACAATTGTATATGTTGACATCAGTGGACTAAGTCGTCTCATGTAGATAATATCTGGGTAAGTGGTTTTGCTGATAGCCCATTGCATTGCTTGGCTGATTATTGTAGTATTTGTGTGAATGTGAAGGTAGGCTGTGTTAATTTGTTGAAGGCCAACTCTCAATAACATTGAGTGATCAATAACATGTAAGCACGCTCTTTTCTGCCTTTTGCTACATGCATGAATGAATGAATGAATGAATGAATGAATGAATGATTCTTTTTTAGAATTATTGAATTAAAAAAGTTGCCTCTGCTTGATTTAGATTAGTGATATCTTTATGATATCCTGCATGCTTGAGGGACTAATTATACATTACATTTATAATCCTGCTAACTCAAAATAAGTTTAGCATTAATTCTACAAAACAAACGGAAATTGAGGAGAATCAGGGGAAATAGAACATTATCGAGGTTCAAGCTCAGATATTACTGATTCATAATTAAAATTATTCAGATGTTGTGAGCATGGAGTTGGCTCCGCATCTGCATCTGGTTTGGTAGAAAACGCTGGTCTTTTGGGGATCATAATGTGTTCAATTTCGTTATTGAGAATGGCTGAAATCTCCAGCATGGATGGTCTGTCTTCCTGCTTTTCTTGAACACATAATAGAGCAATTTGCATACATCTCATTAGCTTATAATTGATATTTAAATCATCTAATGCTGGATCCACAAATTCCATGCCTTCATCTTGTTTCCACAACTCATATGCCTGATAAATTCATTTGACAACCATAGAAATTATGTCTGATATATGTGAAATATATAGGTTTGTCATATACAGAAATCAGTTACTAGATAAACTTGGCTGCTTATTTACTTGCATATTCCAAGAGGTTGTATCCTTCATTAGCACCGTAGAATTGGTTATTTCTCTTACCACTTATGATTTGTAGCAGCAGCACTCCAAAGCTATAAACATTATGTTTTCTGGAGTATACTCCTTGCTTCACATACTCCGGAGGGACATATCCACTGCCAAAATATGATTAGTTTGTTCCGAGTATAACCTAAATAATTGGTGAATAACAAGAATACAAGCATAACCATATACTCACTATGTTCCTACAATCTTTCTTGTATTTGCTTCATATTCGTCTGTTTCGAATATTCTTGCCATGCCAAAGTCTGAAATTTTAGGATTTAAATCTTTGTCAAGTAAAATATTACTAGCTTTTAGATCTCGATGAATAATCGTTAGCCTCGAGTATTCTTGCAGGTACAGAAGGCCTTGAATAATTCCTTCAATGATGTGAGCACGAATTCCCCAATCGAGCTGTAAACTTTTCTCAGGATCTGCAACATTTTAAAAGACACAGAAAGGAAACTATAAGCTGGAAGAACATTATGCTTGTGCTCACTAGCTAGATTGTGTGTCATCATAAAACTTATTCGAACAACAGCTATACCAAAGAGGTAGAAATCCAAGCTGCTATTTGGAAGGTATTCATAAATAAGCATCTTTTCTTCTCTTTCCACGCAAAATCCCATCACCTTAACCAAGTTTACATGTTGAAGTCTTGCAGTGAGCATTACTTCATTCTTGAACTGCTCAAATCCTTGCTTTGATGCTTTTGAAAGTCTCTTAACTGCTATTTCTTGTCCTGTCTTTAATTTTCCCTGGAGAAGAGGATAAGATTATGTTTAGGCTGTATTTATATGAAGGGCCGAGGAGGGAAAATGCTTATTCTAGAAAAGATTTCCTTCCAACCAAACACAACCTTGTTCGCTTATGAGAACAAAAATCTAACATCCGTTTTCAAAAACTTCTGAGAGGTATATCCTCTCCATATTTCCTCAGACACAGACATAAAAAACAGTATACTCCTATAAACCAAAACGAAGCAAGTGTAGTTTGCATACCTTGTAAACTGGTCCATATCCACCCTCTCCAAGCTTCTTGTAAAATGAAAAATTATCTGTGGCCTCATTAATATCCTCAAAACCAAATGCTTTTACATCCGGTGAATCATAACTGAAGGTTCGAGTGTCTGTTGTTTTAGATCCTATAAACACAGCACCCAAGCAGAAATTAGAAGAATAAAAATGATTATAATCTCAATCAACTGATTTCCAAAATTTAATCTGCCAAACCTATCATACTTTAACTGTTTACTTACTGCAATAATTAAGCATTCTTGCTCTGAGAATATAGAAGATTAAGCTGAGACAGCAGATACTAGCTGCAGGAACCAACACCTTTACTAAAAGTGGCCTTTTATTGAGCTGATTTCCACCTGTTATTTCAGCTGATAAATGTAACCCTGTTATTCTGTGTCACTACAGTATGAAATAGGAGATATATCATTCAGAATGCTATACTAACACTTTAAATTACTTGCAGCCTTAGAGAGGACCCAGTTATCGTCGTTACCAACTTGATAGACATTGTGCCCACGAAGGCCTTTCTTCTGAGCATACGAAACCTTGGTTTTTATTGCATCCACATCGTTGAAGCCCACCCAGAAAGACCCAAAAGAGCAAGTATTCTCAACATACGTAGAATTGTACACAATCTTAGTCGCATAACTCTTCACGTAGCTCTTGATCCATCGGTAGCCCAATGATCCATCTGGGTAGATTCCTGGACCTGAAGCCGGAGCTCCAATCTGGTTATCTTTTGGATTTAGAAGGGTCCATACCCAGCCATGGTAAGGCATCCCTATCAAAATCTTGTTTGCTGGTAGACCTTTACTTATCCATTGGTTGAGGCCATACTCAGTACAAGCATGAGGATTATAAGGGTCATACAATGCAGCATGAGGGTGAGCAAATTTATATTGTTGGGGCACAAAATAATCAAATGACATCATATGAACCCAATCAAAGTTCTTCTGGATTGCAGCCACAGGGAAATCAACTGCGACGGTTCCATCCTTTTGAGCATGATCAAAAGTAGAGGTTGTAGGCAAGTAATGGATGCCCATGCTTAAGATTAATCTTTTATCTCAATGATCTACAGAAGACCGCCACTCATCAAAGAGTTTTGCCATGTTTAAGGAGTCAGAGGTGGTGTTGGGCAGAAAACAACAGAGATCTAACCCATTAAAACCATAAGTTAAGGCTGTTTGAATGGAGGAGTTGATGAAAGACTTCCTAGAGGAAGAGTTAGAGATCATAGATAAGAAAGTGGGTGTGATACTGTGATCTCCTACGGAAAGAAGTGTTTGGATAGAAGGGTTGTTGCGTTTGACAGTGTTTGTGAATAAAGCGACATATTGGACATCAGACGAAGGGATGGAGAGTTGGTAAGTGGTGGAGTTTATGCCCGCGAAAGCACAATAGAGGTGGGTGAAGAGAGAGGAATCAACATCAGGAGCCAGAAATTCGCTAACTGTTAACCAGTAACCTGACTTGATCCAAGATGTGTCAAATTTATCAGTTGCATCGCCATAGTAGGCTAATGTATGAATCAGTTGCACTAGGAATAACATGAATTTCATTAGTTTGTTAACTGTAAAACCCATTGAAACTCTACACAAAGGTTAATACAAGTCTACTGCATTTTTAATAAAAGATCCATCTATCTTTGCTCGTTATTTCAAGTCAGTTGTGGATTTTTCTTCCTAATTAATACTTCGTACAAAGGTACGATTGTACAATCATATAGCAATTAAAAGGAGAGCAAGTAAAGGAGAGCAAGTCAGGTTACTGGTTTAATTCAAATTACATGACTTGTTTTTTTCCTTGACTCAGTCTTTTATACTGTTCTAGAGACTTTTCATCATCAATCAAATATCTAAAGCTAATTCAAAATTAACTTGTACGAGTATACAACTAACTAGCAATTTCACTTTCTAGTAAATTGTACAGTTCTCTAGAGTTCATTCATAATCTACTGCTCTATACTTCATACTTTCCAATTACTTTCGAATTGACATCGTACTAAGTAGCGGTAAGATAGACTCCAAAACCTTGTCACCTACATGTTCTTCATGAATGATGCGGCTCAAGACATTGTTATATACTCATGGGTGTACCGTACACCTAGAGCTGTCAATTTGGGTAACAGGTCGGGTTTGGATCGAGTAACAGTGGGTCGGGTCAACTCGGGTCGGGTCAGACCAACTCGGATTAATTCCATAATCTATGCGGGTCGGGTTTGGGTTGGATCATGCTTGAGTCGCGCCACGTCGGGTCATACTTCTTATCGGGTTTGGGTCGGGTTTAAGTCGGGCTACATTCGGGTCGGTTGAACAATAGGTCGGGTTTAATTCGGGTTAAAACGGGTTAGGGTAATCCTCAGGTTCAAGTCGGGTTCGGTTCAAGTCAATAATTTGCGGGTTAGAATCAGGTCGGGTCATTCTCGGGTTTGAGTCGGGTTCGGTTCAAGTCAATAATTTGCGGGTTATAATTAGGTTGAGTTATTGCCAAGCCGGGTGATTCTCGGATTCAAGTCGGGTTATGTTCAAGTCAATAATTTGCAGGTTACAATCAGGTCGGGTCATTTCCAAGTCAGGTCATATTCGGGTTCAACTAATTATAAATAGATAATTATCATTTTTATCAAACTAATTATTTCCTTTAACTATAATATATATTACAATATACTAGGGAACTATAGTCTATAATTTAGGAAGATAATTAACTCATTTGATCATATTATAAATATATACTATATTTAACTCTTAAATTTAAGGATGATGCTCCTTTCTTTTACTGGCCTAGACCAACTTGGTCTCCCTAGACAAAATGCTTTGATCAACAATAATAAGGCAGTCTAAATTGCATTTAAGGTGATTTGAAATAAGGCCAAGAACAATTTAGGTTGAATTTAGGTCGGGTGAATAACAAATCGTGTTAATTTCGAGTCGGGTTAGTAACAAATCGGGTTAAATTTTTGGGTCGGGTAAGTAATAGGTATGGAAAAATTCGGGTCGGGTCAATAACAAGTCGGCTTGAATTTGGGCCAGGTCAATAATAAGTCGAGTTGATTTCGGGACGGGTTTGTAACAAGTTGGGTTAAATTCGGGTCGGGTTAGGAACGGGTTAGGTTGAATTCAGGTCAAGTTAGTAACAAGTTGGGTTAAATTCGGGTTTTGACGGGTTAAAAAGGGTTTTGTGTCTATTTCGGTTCAAGTCGGGTTTGGTGCAAATTAATTAAATTGACCATTATAAACCGGTAAATCGGTGCAAGTTGTAAACCGGTAAATTGGTCGTTTGAAAGCAAATTGGATGGTTCCAAACACCCAATTGGACTTTTGGAGGGTATTAGGGACCATGGTAAACATTTCGGCAATTTTTATTTCCAGGCTCAAAAAATTCAGAAATTAAAGGCTAATATCCACGTTTTTTAAGAAATTTTGGAGGTTTCATGGCCCGGTGTCGAAAAGTCTTGAAATTCAATGGGATACATTTCGGGGTCATATAAAGCCGTTTGAACCATATATGATCATTATTTGTTGTCATAAATGTTCGTGGTAAGCTTGAATTAATGAAATCGGTGCAAGTTGTAAACCGGTAAATTGGTCGTTTAAAAGTAAATTGGATAATTCCACCCACCCAATTGGACTCTCGGAGGGTATTAGGGACCATGGTAAACATTTCGGCAATTTTTATTTCCAGATGAAAAAAAGTCAAAAATTTCCAAAATTGAAGGCTAATATCCACGTTTTTTGAAAAATTTTGGAGGTTTCGGGCCGGGCCACTGTAGAAAAGCCTTGATATTTTAGGGGATACATCTCAGGGTCATATAATGTCGTTTGGAACCATATATGATCATTATATGTTGTCATAAATGTTCGTATTATGCTTGAGTTAATGAAATCCGTGCAAGTTGATTGGATGGTTCCACCCAGCCAATTGGACTCTCGGATGATATTAAGGACCATGGTAAACATTTTGGTAATTTTTATTACCGGACGAAAAAAAGACAAAAAATTCCAAAATTGAAAACTAATATCCATGCTTTTTTAGAAATTTTGGAGGTTTCAGGGCCTGGTGTCGAAAAGTTTTGAAATTCAAGGGAATACATCTTGGGCTCATATAATATCGTTTGGAACCATATATGATCATTATTTGTTGTCATAAATGTTCGTGGTAGGCTTGAGTTAATGAAATCGGTGCAAGTTGTAATAATCGGTAAATTGGTCGTTTAAAAGCAAATTGGATGATTCCATCCACCTAATGGGACTCTCGGACAGTATTAGAGATCATGGTAAAGTTTTCGTCAAATTTTATTTCCGGGCGAAAAAAAGTCAAAATTTTCAAAATTGAAGGCTACTATCCACGCTTTTTGAATAATTTTGGAGGATTCGGGGCCCGGAGTCGAAAAGTATTGAAATTCTAAAGGATACATCTCGGGGTCATATAATACCGTTTGGAACCATATTTGATTATTATTTGTTGTCATAAATGTTCGTGGTAGGCTTGATTTAATGATATCGTTGCAATTTATAAACCGGTAAATAGGTCGTTTAAAGGCAAATTGGATAGTTCCACCCACCCAATTGGACTCCCAAAGGGTATTAGGAACCATGTTAAACATTTCGGAAATTATTATATTTGGGCGAAAAAAGTCTAAAAATTCAAAAAATAAAGTCTAATATCCACTATTTTAGAAATTTTGGAGGTTTCGGGGCCCGGAATCGAAAAGCCTTGTGATCCTAGGGAATACATCTCGGGGTCATTTAATGTCGTTTGGAACCATATATGATCGTTATTTGTTGTCATAAATGTTCGTGGTAGGCTTGAATTAATGAAATCGGTGCAAGTTGTAAGCCTGTAAATTGGTCGTTTAAAGGCAAATTGGATAGTTCTACCCACCCAATTGGACTACCGGAGTGTATTAGGGACCATGGTAGACATTTCGGCAATTTTTTATATTCGAGCCGAAAAAAGACAAGAATTTCCAAAATTGAAGGCTAATGTCCATACTTTTTGAGAAATTTTGGAGGTTTTGGGACCCAGTGTCGCAAAGTCTTGAGATTTTAAGGAATACATCTAGGGGCCATATAATACCGTTTGGAACCATATATTATTATTATTATATGTTGTCATTTCTGTTCATGGTAGGTTTGAGTTAATGAAATTGGTGCAAGTTGTAAACCCGTAAATGGTCGTTTAAAGGTAATTGGATGGTTCCACCCACCCAATTGAACTCTCGGAGGGTATTAGGGACTATGGTAATCATTTCGGCAATTCTTCTATTCGGGCGAAAAAGTCAAAAGATTCTAAAATTCAAGGCAAAGATCACGCTTTTTGAGAAATTTTGGAGGCTTCGAGGCTCGGTGTCGAAAAGCCTTGAAATTTTATGAGCTACATCTCGGGGTATATAATGCCGTTTGGAACCATTTATGATTATTATATTTTTATCATAAATGTTCGTGGTAGGATTGATTTAACGAAATCGGTGCAAGTTGTAAACCGGTAAATTAGTCGTTTAAAGGCGATTTGGATGGATACACCCACCCAATTGGACTCCCGGAGGGTATTAAGGAACATGGTTAAAATTTCGGCAATTTTTATTTGCGGGCGAAAAAAAGTCAAAATAATTTCCAAAATTGAAGGTTAATAATATCCACCTTTTTGAGAAATTTTGGAGTCTTCGGAGCCCAGTGTCTAAAATTCTTGAAATTCTAGGGAATCCATCCCGGGGTCATATAATGTCGTTTGGAATCATATGTAATCATTATTTGTTGTCAAAAAAGTTCGTGGTTGGCTTGAGTTAATGAAATCAGTGTAATTTGTAAACCGGTAAATTGGCATTTAAAGAAAAATTGGATGGTTCCATCCACCCACTCAAACTCCCGGAGGGTATTAGGGACCACTACTTACCGGTGTCGGGGCCTGGTGTCGAAAAGAAATGAGATTTTAGGGGATACATTTCGGGGTCATATAATGTCGTTTGGAACCATATATGATCATTATATGTTGTCATAAATGTTCGTGGTAGGCATGAGTTAATGAAATCGATGCAATTTGTAAACCGGTAAATTGGTCGTTTAAAGGCAAATTGGATGGTTCCACCCAACCAATAGGACTCCCGGAGGGTATTAAGGACCATGGTAAACATTTCGACAATTTTTATTTCCGTGAGAAAAATAGTCAAAAAATTCAAAATTGAAGGCTAATATCCACGTTTTTGAAAAATTTTGGAGGTTTCGGAACCTGGTGTCGAAAAGACTTGATATTTTAGGGAATACATCTCGAGGTCATATATTGTCGTTTGGAACCATATATGATCATTATTTATTGTCATAAATGTTTGTAGTAGGCTTGAGTTAATGTAATCGGTGCAAGGTTTAAACCGGCAAATTGGTCGATTAAAGGCAAATTGGATGGTTACACCCACCCAATAGGACTACCGGAGGGTATTAGAGACCATGGTAAAAATTTAGGCAATTTTTTATTTTCAGGCGGAAAAAGTCAAAAAAATTCCAAAATTGAAGGCTTAATATCCACGCTTTTTGAGAAATTTTGGAGGTTTCGAGTCACGATGTCTAAAATCCTTGAGATTTTAGGGGATACATCTCGGGGTCATATAATGTCGTTTGGAACCATATATGATCATTATATGTTGTCATAAATGTTCGTGGTAAGCTTGAGTTAATGAAATCAGTGCAAGTTGTAAACCGGTAAATTGGATGTTTAAAGGCAATTTGGATGGTTCTACCCAGCTAATTGGACTCCCGGAGGGTGTTAGAGAACATGGTAAACATTTCGGAAACTTTTATTTTCGGGCGAAAAAAAAGCAAAAAATTCCAATATTGAAGTCTAATATCCACGCTTTTTGAGAAAATTTTGGATGTTTCGGGGCCCGGTGTCAAAAAGGCTTGAGATTTTAGGGGATACATTTCGGGGTCATATAATGCCGTTTGGAAGCATATATGATCGTTATATGTTGTCATAAATGTTCGTGATAAGCTTGAGTTAATGAAATCGGTGCAAGATGTAAACCAGTATATTGGCCGTTTAAAGACAAATTAAATGGTTCAACCCACTCAATTTGACTCACATAAGGTATTAGCGACCATAGTAAACATTTCGGAAATTTTTATTTTCGGGCGAAAAAAAGTCAAAAATTTCGAAAATTAAAGGCTAATATCCACACTTTTTAAGAAGTTTTAGAGGTTTTGGGGCTCGGTGTAAAAAAATTTTAGGGGATATATATCAGGGTCATATATATGGCGTTTGAAACCATATATAATCATTATTTGTTGTCATATATGTTAATGGTAAACTTGAGTTAATGAAATTGGTGCAAGTTGTAAACCGGTAAATTGGTCGTTTAAAGGCAAATTGGATGGTTACACCCACCCAATTGGTCTCCCAGAGGATATTAGGGAGCTTGATAAACATTTCGGCAATTTTTATTTTCGGGCGAAAAAAGTCAAAAAATTCCAAACCCACACTTTTTGAGAAATTAGGGATGTTTCGAAGCCCTATGTCGAAAAGTGTTGAGATTTTACGGGATACATCTCGGGGTCATATAATGCCGTTTCGAACCATATATGATCATTATATGTAGACATAAATGTTCGTTATAGGCTTGAGTTAATTAAATCGGTGCAAGTTGTAAACCGGTAAATTGGTCGTTTAAAGGAAAATAGGATGGTTCCACTCACCCAATTGAACTCCCAGAGGGTATAAGGGACCATTGTAAACATTTCGGCAATTTTTATTTCTGGACGAAAAAAGTAAAAAAAAAATTAAAATTGAAGGCTAATATCCACACTTTTTGAGAAATTTTGTAGTTTTCGGGGCCCGGTGTCAAAAAGCCTTTAGATTATAGGGGATACATCTCGGGGTCATATAATGCCGTTTGGAGCCATATATAATCATTATATGTTGTCATAAATGCTTGTGGTAGACTTTAGTTAATGAAATCGGCGCAAGTTTTAAACCGGTAAATTGGTCGTTTAAAGGCAAATTGGATGGTTCTACACACCCAATTGGACTCTTGGAGGGTATTAAAAACCATGGTAAACATTTCGGCAATTTTCATTTCCGGGCGAAAATAAGTCAAAAAATTCATAAATTAAAGGCTATATCTACACTTTTTGAGAATTTTTGGAGTATTCGGGGCACAGTGTCAAAAAGTCTTGAAATTTTAATGAATACATCTCGGGATCATTATTTTAGTCATAAATGTTCGGGTAGGCCGAATTATTGAAATCGGTCAAGTTGTAAACCGGTAAATTGGTCGTTTAAAGGCAAATTGGATGGTTCCACCCACCCAATTGGACTCCCGGAGGATAGTAGGGACCATGGTAAACATATCGGCAATTTTTATATCCAAGCAAAAAAAAAAGTCAAAAAATTCCAAAATTGAAGGCTAATATCCAAGATTTTTGAGAAATTTTGGAGGTTTCGGGTAGATCTATCAATTCGGGTAAACGGGTCGGGTTTGGGTCGGTAAGTGTGGGTCGGGTCAACTTGGATTAATAATATAACCTATGCGGGTCGGGTTTGGGTTTGGTCATGCTTGAGTCGGGTCACGTCGGATCATACTTCTTATCGGAATTGGGTCGGGTTTAGGTCGGGTTAATAACAGGTCGGGTTACATTCGGTTTTTCACGGGTTAACACGGGTTTGGGTCAATTTCGGTTCAAGTCGAGTTCGGTTCAGGTTAATAATTTACGGGTTACATTCGAGTCGGGTCATCTCCACGTCAGTTCATGTTCGGGTTCGGGTCTCACATACTCGGGTCAACTCGAGTTTAGGGTTGAATTCAAGTCGAGTCAGGTCGGGTTTGGGTCACCATTTTTTTGGTTTAGATGGATCGGTTAATAATCGGATTTGAGTCGGTATTTTGGATCGGGCCAACTTTTGACAGCTCTACGTACAAGGTTCACCCAACTAATCAATGGTTAGTTTTTGCTCTTCATTTGATGATTAAATAAAAAACAATCATCAAATGAGAACAAAATACTTATGGCCATTATGGGTGTACAGTACACCCCAGGTGTATATAACAAATTCTAAATAAACTTTGAGTATTAGTTCACCTCAAAGCATATAATTTTTTGGGATTTGATCCATCCATTTTAATATGCACTTTTTACAGCATATTCACTTCATTATTTTTATTTTTATTTTTGCTGAAGTGAAATTAATAAATCTATTGAAATAAAATTATTTTGTTGAATTGAAATTTATAGAATTGAAATTAATTTTGCATAACTTAATATTTTTTTATTGATTTCTCTATTATTTTTCTTTTTTACGGTTACTAATTTTATTGAACTTGTTTTTACGGAATTAAAATTATTTTTACTAAATATTTTTTTTAAAAGGTAAACTAGCCTTAGATATCAACTTTTGAAATCCCCAGTCAAACAATTTTAAGAAATCAGTTTAAAACGGGTTCTCACAATCTAATCTTTTTCTTTGACACAAATTTCAATGCATAAAGTTGTGAGAAGAGATAAACTGAACTAAGATCGAGTGGGGCTCCCTCTTCTAAAATCTCTCATATCCGGTTATTTTGTCAATTTATTTACAAAAATAGCGCTGCATAAACGATTGTTATTATCACGAATATAAATTTGTATTTTCTCGTTTGTCTTTCCTCCCATAATAAACCATCTGTTCAAGCTTTTTATGAACATATACATAAATTAAAACTCTAATCTTGAATCGCCCATTTTCTCTCCTATTTTTTTGTTCTTCCTTAGCTACTAGCTTTCAACTGCAATTTCCAGGTAATTTAGTCCACGATTTATACTATTAATTCGTGTTTGTTTGAGATAATTCGATCAAATGTGACGTTTTTAATTTCTCTCATTCTATGTTCTCTCTTCTTCTCAGAGTGAGCTGCAATTGTATCCAAATTACAGAAAATGGAGATGATTGAAGCAGTGACATTGATATTGGGTGTTATATTAGCCCTTCTATTCATTATCCCACGATTGAATAAACCCAGTTATTATTTTCTCTCTTTCTCTAAACCCAATTCAAATTTGACTTTTTTATGTAAATAATCTGTAATCTGAGTTACTATTGAATCGATTTTCTGGTGTTTGTTTCAATGCAGGTCAATCGAAAACTGAAGCTTTGAGTAGTAACACCAAAAAAATATCAAAGGTATCATCACATTGGATTTTAATTGTTGATATTTGATGAGTTAAAGTTCTATTAACTTGTGGGTATTATTGGTTTCTTCGCCTTTGTTTTATTATCTTTGATGAAATGCTTAAATTGAAGTGCATTTAAGTTTATTTTACTGAATCTATGCTAATTTAAATATCATACATCTTTGTAAGCATATCAATTTCCTATTGATTTTATACTTCAAAGAATTTTTGTTCTTATGAAATACTTTGTACTCTAAAAGTGTTGCACAGTACACCCGGATATATGATAGAATTATTGCCGATTGAGCTTAGTTGTAGAGGCTGAATGCAATCATTAACAATATCTTGTAATTTGTGTTGCTTGACTGCATCTTAAATGCCTTGACTTGAGGAAAGAACTGTGGCTTCAGTGATTCGAGCTTTCGATTTTCTTGTCAACTTTTAGTTAGAAGTATTCCAATTATCAAGGTAGACATAAATCTTTGGTTTCATAGTTTTGGGTGAATCTGCAGGATCTTCGTTGTACATATATGATTTTCAATCGATATCAACTCATGGAAAACACTTTGATTTGATCTCTCTAAGTCCAGAACAGATTTCTTATTTTACTTTCTTCTTGTTACTAGGAACCTAAAAAATATACTAAAGCTGAAGTTTCATTGCACGACAAAAGGACTGATTGTTGGGTCATCATCAAAGATAAGGTATATTTGTTTTTCCATGTTGTCTTCCAATGTAACTTGTTTCTTAAAAATGAGAATTACTTTGAAAGCTCTAATTTCCATTTTGGTGCTGCTGATGTAGGTATATGATGTAACCTCATATGTGGAGGAGCACCCTGGTGGTGATGCTATATTAACGCATGCAGGGGATGATTCAACTGAAGGATTTTATGGGTATAACAGTATGAGTCTATTATGTCATTCTTGTATGTTGCTGTTACAGTAATGCACCTTTCATTACTTGATAGTTGATTACTTCTCTTGATTTTGTTTTTTGTGGCTTAATAGAAGTAAGGTTTATTTACATACAAACCTCCTTAGACCTCATCTACACCAAGATCTAGGTTGAGTCATATTACTGCTGTAATAACTTAATCTTATAAGTCTTCATTACTTCTGTCGATTCTGTTTTCTGTGGCTGGATAGAAGTAAAGTTGCTTGCATAGAGACCTCCTTAGACCTCATCTTTACCAATATCTAGGTTGAGTCAAATTAATGCTGTATTAACTTAATCTAACAAGTCTTCATGTACCTTATTTAGCTTCTTTAAGGCTCCAATACCAATATGTTGTGATCATGTGTGGACTGCTTTCTATTCAGAAGGAAACTGCTTATTTCTAGTGCATTGAAATCACTAGTTTGGCCTTGGAGGGAATGCTTTGGCACCTTCCTGCTAATGGAAATGCTTGTAGCATTGTAGGCTCTGTGATCTGAAGCTGTTTTGTATTTTGTGAAAAACATAGTTTAGACATGGCTAGGAACAAGGATCAGGGCCAATCAAGGAAAAATAACTAATATATGGACGTCCCCTCCCCCTCTGAACGGGATATAAAGGGCTCCTCATCCTGAAGTTCCATAAATCACATGGATTTATGATTTCATACTGTTATTTGTTGTTGTTAATTGATGCACATAACTTCTTTGGCAACTATGTTTTGTGAACATTTTGGCACCCTTACCTTCTTACACTTGCGTGTGTGCTTGGCAGGCCACAGCATGGTACACGAGTTTTTGACATAATAGAAGATTTCTGCATTGGAGAACTGGAACAGTAACTGAGCTTGTGCAACCACTTAAAGGTTCTAAATGCTTGGTGACAAGATTTTTTTTGGCTGAGGCTCTACTCCTTCAATCTGCTGTCCCAACCTTATTCATGTCATTTCCAAGTTCTTGATGTTATATTTAACTCTTAGCAGGTGCTGGATTGTTTGAGCTACCAGCTCTATGACTTGAGTTGAAATCCTACAAAAACGCGAATCAAATCAACTTTATGTCATGGATACTTTCATTTCTTGAGTTTTGTGACTTTTAGTCCTACTCCATTTTGAATGAAGAAATTCATTTGTATCTGTTCATGGTTATGTTATACAGAAAGCTTCTCGCAGAAATTCAATTCAAGCTTTTATAGTTCACTTGTTAAATGTTTAGGTATTATATTAAGCTAGAATCTTCTGTATTCAGAATTCATATGGTGAAAATTGTAAGCATCAATGAGAAGTAGACCTTTTTCTAATTTGCTACCATTCAGGGACACTGAAATTGAATTTTTGCCTGCTTTTATAATCAAAGCATGGCATAGGTAATTGCTGCTCTGTATAATGAAGAATTGTAATAATTTCTTAATCAGTCTGAAAAAGTTTTAAAAAAAACACTTGCAATTTCCATTCAGAGCTTTTTTCTACTTTACAACTGATCACATATACAACTTGTTGGCGCCAAAACAAACAAAAATTAAATCAAACAACTAGGTTATCACCTGAAAAACTGAACATTCAGAACTTTACAATGGTACAAGGAAATTTTAACACTGATAAAAAACTACATAATGATATTGATACAAATTACAAAAAATCACCTTAAGCCGAAGATCAAACTGGCTGAAGAATCAAAAAATGAAGAATTCTAATGCATGAATCAATCAATAAGGAATGGCCAAATTGACATGCAAGGGTGATATTCACAAAAAAAAATATTGCTTCAAAGTCCCTTGCATCTGGAATAAATGCAACTCCTGTCATTAATGCTATCAATGATCCTACACATCGTATTTTTTGGGTTGCCGCCACTGTACCAACGTTCTTGCTAATGAACTGATGAATGAAGTTTTGGGTGGAGATCCTCTTTTCCCGTACAAATTCTTTCCACTGAGATCTGAATGTGTTGGTCCAATATCTTTCCCTCTATCAATCTGCACAGGGGAATATATGAGCTAAACTAAACATGAATATACCTACAGGATTCTCAAAGTCACCACACATCAAAAAAATATTACTTACAGTAATCAAGGTTTTATAAATACAAAAATGGCTTGATGGTAAAGCTCAGATTCAAATCAAATCATGAAGAACACTATCTCGAGTTGTAAAATAACACACATTAAGCAACCTAGTTATAGTTTCACTTACATGTGAAGACAAGCATCCAAAGACGCATTATTATAAACCATACTACGAATTTCACAAACATTGGATGAATCTGTTACCATTTAATAATATTTAAGTGCAATTAGATTAATCTAGGCTAATGAAAAACATTGGATTTGATGATAACAAGTACGTTTATGAAGGTGTGAAGTGGCAAGGAGAAGTAGCAGTAAACCATACTGATGGAGGACATTAATATACTCTCTTACTAGAACAAGAAAACATGGATGGGAAAGACTTAATATGTAAAAATGAGTTGTGGTAGCTGATTATTAGCATTAACGAGTTCCTGCACTCCCCAATCTAAAGGAATGCCTCTTCTGGGTCATTAGTGTTGGTGGAACGCCTCCAAATAACTTGGGAAAATCTGGGCAAAGATGACTGTGGTGGGCTATGAACGCAGTCAATCCACTCTTTTTATAACCACTACAACCTCCCTATAACCTGTTATCAACTCACTTGCATGAAAGTGGAGATGAAAGCTTCATAGCTGCTTCTCCATGCCATTTAACACCAATTTGACAGCAAAAAAATAACAAAAAGGCACGAGAGCATAGATCTACATTGTTAAAAAATAACCAAAACAAAACTAGTATACCTTGTATATTTTCCCATCCTTCAAGTAGTATATTATACCCGACCAATTAATAGATTGTGAGAAGTGAGATCGCAGCGCAGAGATAGGATATAAGAAGTTGTCCACAAGCATTGCAACAAACACCTGCTCAACATGGCATCAAATAGGAAGAAAAAAAAAACATTAGCAGCATATTATGGGCCACATTTCCAAAAGAAAAATGCGCAAGATAAGTAATATCAATGACTTCACACTCCCAGATTTAAACAGTCCATGAAAAGAAAACTAAGTGCTACACTGAATCTATTATAGCTACAAACCACTGAAGCGTTATTGTTTTTATTTTCTTACTCTTCACTCAGCATAAACCTTCTCCAGATTGTTTTATTGATGAATTTACATGATATTCTAGGTGAATGTCCATGATAATGCAATCTCCACTACCAAACATGAGTTAATCTTATTGATTTCTAACACTACTACCTCTAGTGATAATAAGAGAGTTTTTTTTTTTTTTTGGCATAAAATATATTATATAATGCAAATACTAAAGGATACAGTATACAGAAACAAATGCCAAATAACAGTCGAACCGCAAAATTTTTAATGGTGAGAAGAAGAAACACACCAGACACCAATTGTAGGTAGCAAGTGACAAAGGCGGTGCCTCAGGGGATAACAAGTTGCACAAGTGAACTTCAATCCTTGTCAAGTTCCACATGGAAAGTAACTCAATAGCAGTGCAAGTGGCAAGGCAGCCCACAAATAACCACCCTACAAGAAAATAGGAAAAAGGAAGATGCAAATGAGTAACTGTTGACAAGATATATATAATTGCACTTATTATTACTTAATTATTCATCATTGCCCTACAAATTTGTTTTCTGCACAACTGTGGCTACGTTATAGATCTCGACTACAAAATCCTCTATGAGTGAGCTTCGGTTCTACATAACAAGACTTCACAAAGAAAAAGCTTCTCTTAACAGCCAACTGTGATCTTGTATACTAATGTAACTATTCAGCAGAATCCAAACTTGATTATAGTAAGCAAACATTAAGCTACAAGCATTTTGAGAATACTAATTTTTTTCCATTCAAGTGGAGCAGTAAATCAACGTCTTATTATTAAGCTTTTGGTCCTTCCAAATTACGATATCAAAAAGCTTGAAAATCACTGTAGAGAAGAAACTCAAGCTAAAAGTATGTCTTATAAAAGAAAAAAGACTTCTAACGTACTAAGATATAAGCATTGTAGGAAATATTTCCTTTTTGGAATTTAATAAAGATTACAACAGCCTAAATCTTATCACCAAAAAAAAAATTGAATTTCCATAAAGATTAAGTTCAAGAAATTCAAAACATGGGCTGACATGTTTAATTCACAAGTAAAAATAAAATAAGGTCTAATAAGTAAGTTTCAAATAAGGGACTTTCAGGTGAAAAAGAGGATAACATGTAAATACTTTTCAAACAAGGTCCTATACTTAAGTGGCAGATGATAATTTAATTTGATGAAGTCTAAAAACGTATCTTCAGCAGCATATCTCAACCAATATCACAAAGGTTCTTCACCCCTACTGTGTCCTTTCATCATTACTTGTCCCAAATCAGTATCTTATACTGAAATGAAAATCCTATACCAAACCTAATCTTGCTCAGCCCAGCTGTACATGACCTAATCACAAATAAATTGTATGATATTTTAGTAGCAGCCCCTCGTATCCTATTTCAAATCATCTGAGCCCTATAAATGCAATTTAGCCAGCGAATCATTGGGGATTAGCTGATAACCTAAATAACCACAGTATCAGCATGAATCCATCCTAACACATTGCGGTCCTCTGCTGATATAATAACTTGACAAACCCATGAAATCAAGGTGATTCAGCTAATAAGATCTTGTTGAGTTACCTACCAACGAGGTTAGTTATACTTACCACCAGAGATAAGAAACTTATCCTCAATTGTATAAGCTCCGTACCGCATCCGAAGTGCAGCTGCAACATGTATCACAGCCATGACATATGGCGCCACAAATCCCCATGAGAAGTAACAGTGCACAGAAAATAACGCACGATTCATGATCCAATTAACCTTTGACACATATGATTCTAGAACAAATGTTTGCTTCCTCAAGTAGTTCCAGTACCTACATTAGAAGATCAAAGAGACCAAATCATCAAATATAGTCAGATGAAATTAAGAGATAAATTCTGTATAAAAGAACAAACCACTCAAATATTACAACAAACCTGGAGAAACTAAGATCACTTGCAAGTGGATGAGGGAAAACAGCAACTGGAGGAGATGTTATGAGTTTTTTGTGAGCTCCTGAAAAAAATGACAAGGATCAACTACTGTAAAGATAGAATACCCAAATGTGCTTCAACAACCAGATTTACAACAAAAACACACTTCGCAATAAGCAACAGATAACTGTCAAAGGAGCCTTTTGAGGTCCCTAAAATGAGTAAGCAAGGTTCTTATGAAGCTACAAGATCAAAATTTTAAAAAGAAACAACGTTTCAATGAACTACAACTTTGAACACTTTCAACCATCCATTGCATGCTTAAACAGCTATGACTGGTATCAACTGCAAGACATTAAACTTCTAGAAGGTTAAGCTAGTTCATTTCAGATTCAATATAACTGCATTTTAACTATCGTCCAAATTGGTGAAAACTACCAGGCATAAATTACGAAATAAGAAGGCACAAGGAGCATGCCTTGTCAAATAGAATCCAACTACATGCTGTAAACCTGTAATAAGTGGACAGGAAATAGATCTGACAACTCATATAAAGCCAATATCACTGACAAAGAGTTTCTACTTTTCTTGCTACGGTGTTCGATGCTAATAATACATAATAGATGTTATATACTTTGCCTAAATACAAACAATGAGAAAGACCGAGGATATCGAACATGGACACCTTACTGTTCATAAAATATCCCAAGAATAATATTTGAGCAACACACAGCCTCTTGATTTTTCTTTTTTTAGGCGTGCCATTCTCTGCGTATTATTATAAGGTTTTTCTTCGCACTGTTCAGCAACATCCCAGACTATTATTTGAGGAAAGTGTATAAAAGGAATTGGAGACCAAAGTCAGCTAAGTGAATTCTTGGGAGGGAAGCCACATGGAAAATCAGAATATTTTCCACAAAAGGACAAAAAAGAAACGTAATAAATAGAGGAACAGGAGGAAAGACAGCATATAGTAAACTAAATAGTTTTTTTTAGTTTGCTTAGCTAACTTTGTAAGTGTTCAAATGTTGAATCAGTTTATTTCTATGCATTCATATCATCTTCGTCTTTCTCTAGATCTTTTCCTATAATTTCCAGTTCAATCCCATGCACAATATAACCACATTGCTGTCCTTAACCAATGCATATTACACATCGACCTTGAAGCTTCATAAGACAGCAAAACCAGCTCACATCTTACAATACAGGATATTTTTACTGATATAGGTCCTCATCTCCTCATCACTCAGGCTTGAAAAAGAAAGCTGAATGTCTACTAAACATACTATAGGTAAGTCAATGTCAATCAGAACAGAGTAACTAGGTAAAAACACAACTTAAAACTCCAGGGGCATTACAAAGGGCATTACAAAGGGCATTAATATTACCAAGAAGAAGGGATATTAGACAAAAAGGAACAGAAAAGTTAATTTTGTAGATGTAGATACGTTACCAGATATAGCTGCAAGAGTCATATCGTCAGAATATCCACCATCTCGTAGTTCTGAGACTACACCATAGTTGTCATTTCTGAAGTCATCGGCATGCATCTGAGATTGTAGGAAATCAGGAAAAAACAAATTGTAGTGTGTGTGCACCATTGGCAATACTGTGACTACTTACCATCATGCAACCACCCCATAAGAAGAATGTTCTCCCACCGGTAGCAAACCCCATAGAGCAAGGCTGTAGAGACAACAAAGAATTTTTAAGTAGGGTAAATATAATTACACAGAAACAGCAAGAAAAATAATTAACATCCTCATGTCTGTAACTCTGTAAGTGCATATCTAATCAATATCAACATTACACTCACAACAAGGGCTGAAATTATGTGGGTTCTCTGCTTCTCAAAAGCATTAGGATGTTAAGCATCATAACATTGCTGAAGGTGAGGATTTATAATAAAGGGAACAGTGTCCTTGTTCCATGTATTATTAAAAAACCGCATCATATCTCAGTTGAGAAGTGATATGGCAAATGTTAAATTCTAAGAATCAAACAGAATCTGCTTCAATGCAACCAGCCCAATCCCATATTTGGAATGCCAATTTATTATTAATTTAACCAGGGAAAATGTCTACAGAGCGTTGCAGATTCTGGTAAAACCAAAAGTTACTACAACAAATTAAACAAATACCTCCCTTCCTAAATGTTGGTTACACTTACTGTTAGCACACTAGGAGCTAGGAGAGAGAGTGTAGATAAGGGGATATGTGTAAGAAATGTAGAAGAAAAAATGCTATCACAGGGGTTTGCGAAAGAAGAGTATGAAAAGGAGTGTTTCATGTTGGGTAAGGTGAAATTAAAACTTGCCAAAATATGAAAATAGCAAAAAGGGTAACCAACCTACAGAAATGGACGAAAGTAGAAAGCATAACCAACAAAAAAGGAATGAAAGGAGTCTGAAACGATATCAGCCAAGTTTCGCAACTGCTACTGCACTCATATGTTTGGTACCATGGATGGAAGAGACCAAGCCCTGTACAACGGCATGTGACAAGCTAGTATTCTTACGCATATGATCGTAACTCAGAATTGCATATATCCAGGATACCACTCTAAGGCAGAATTGTTTTAGTAAAACAAAAGGTCATCCTACCATCTATCTGCCCATCACAAGACACTGAATTATCACTCACCTTACGTAAACTATATCTTCATTCATCATACGTGACAAATGTGCCATAAATCATCTTTCATATTATACAGCAACAATAATGATAGTCCAGAACCATAAAATAGAAGGATAAGATAAGAAAATTCATAATCACATATATTTAACGTAGATAATATAAGCTGCTTATGGCTATCATCTATCAACACAATTGAAAATAACATAACAATAGAATACCACATACCATGTGATATTCATATATACAGTAACTTCCTAAGCTCCCAGAAGGCAAATCAAGTGGATAACCAGTTTGAATGAAAATCTGCACATAACAGCAACATAGAATGAATCAAACCCAGATTTAATACAATAAAACATATCGTAAAAATATAAATTTCATGCATATCATTTGTAACTGTTAATTTAACAATACAGAAGCCAAAAGATACCTCGGGATTTTTTTCCATTTCAGCCGTGAGAGCACCTATTGATCCTGGGTGAAGTCTAACATCATCATCTAGAAACAGTATATACTTGCTATCTTTATGCATTTTTTCTGCACCAACCTGAGAACGAACAAAGTTCACATATGAAGTTAACATCAGCAGTCAGCTTCAAAATCGCATCTATGCAAGTACAAATAGATCATACAGTATATAGATATAAACAGATAAATTTTGGCCAAACCTCTGACAAGCTCTCAGAACAATGTCACCTGATCATAAATGGTTTTAAATTTTTTAAACTGATAATGTATCCATACACCCCAAGTCTAGTCCATCTGATTTTCAGTGGGCCTCCATATTTCACAGATTTATAGTCAAGATTCCAGAACTTTTCATTTACAAATTATAACTGAACAACATGATTACAAATTTCTATATCCCAATGCAATTTACAGTTAAAAATCCTTCCAAAAAAGAGAGTAATTCTTTCTAATCAAACGGAACACCCTGTGTACTAGCGATGAATTACATACACGATTCCATTAATATGAGAAAAAAAAAATAAGCGGATAACAGCAGAATAATTTATCAAGGGTGAAGAGCGATTGGGGGAAAAAGCCCAACGCCATCTGTGTGTACATTAGTTAGCATTCTTAGCAGAAACCAGATAGTTAAACATTTTAAATTTAAAAACATGGTCACTGTAATGCACCACAAATGCCAAAATCAAACTCGATTACAGGTTTATTTACACATAACTGAAGGAAATAAGAAAAGAATAACATACAAGCTGATTGTGAATCTTCTGACTGCAAGTGGTTGAATAGCCTGCCACTATGATCTTAGCATCAAGTTCATCCTGTCATTACCCATATAATTAGTTAGGATACACACAACACAGGACATTATGATGTGTTGAAGATGTTGTAAGGCTATCACAAACATGCTACCATATGATCTTCCACTATTATAAGGTCATGAAGGTTGCTATAATAGCAAAAACAAACCAACCTTATAATCTTCTACAGTTAAATGAAATTGATCCCATGCTACTTTAAAATACACTTTATGCCATCAAAGGCTATTTATAAATTTTACAAGAATCATGATCGCATGTAAGCATGTTTACTTTACTCACAAAGCATCTAACTGACAGTAATTTCAATGAAGTAATAATAAATAATAAGTTGAACACCTGATAATCTTTTATAAGCCTAGATACAGCGTGATATGCTGGATCTTCAGTACTTTCTACAAGAAAAAGAAACTCTATAGGCCCACCGTATAGGGATGTAATCTGCATTGAAACAGACATCAACAGAACTGTCAATATGCATTCCACTTCATCTTAGCCAAAAAGGAAATTGAGAAAATGAAGGACTCTTCACAAAGATATGGAAGACTTATTGCCACCAGATAATGAATATGAATCACCTTGGTGATATGAACCCAAGAAAGAATGGTTATATAAAAAAAATTGCAACATTTGCTTTTTTGACACTATTCACACACTCCTCTTTAAGTCTTTAACCACATTGTGACTTGTACGTAAAGAAATATACGGTCTTGTGGGGTGTTATTAGATATCTTGATATATATTTTCACAATTATTATATTTTTACCTTATAAATTTATTTAATAAAAGATAAAGGTTTAAATTGTGCTTTGGGAGATGTAATTCCCCCCATGTTGCAATATTTAAAGGACAGAGGAAGTATAAGAAAAATGTCACAACCCATTCAAAATTCCAAATTCCCTGACCAAAAACGTAACATACCAAGTTTTGGTGTGAAATGAGAAACTGTGTCAAAGCAGAATATACTGTTCATCCATTAAAAAAATCGAAGGAGGGAAGAGAGTGTTGCACCTGACTTTTCCAGTTATGCAAATTGTGCTCTCCAAATCCTTTCAAAGGCATAACAACTGTGACTCTTGGCAGATTGACTTGATAAGAGTGCTCAAGCTCATTAATGTCATGACAAAGAAAACCAAAGCTATTTCCTTTTCTCAGTTCATTTTTCATGCGTTTGATTTCTCTATTCCTGAAGAAAAAGAAGAGAGAGAGAGAGATCCATCAGAGGTCCCCAACAAATATATATTGAATGCCATGATGTATATGTAGTCCATCAGTTCATTAATCTGTCCTCCAATACTAGTACCTGACATGAGCAGCGCAGGCCCACCCAAATGCTAAAACTAGACATATTAAACATCCCTGCAGCAATAAACAAGGAAGCTTAAGATCTATCGTCCAAATTAAAACATCAATCAAAATAATAATGGGTGGTATCAGCAGGATAATAGAAAGGTTTTGATGAACAGACCCCCCTATACTATGACAAGAAGACAAATTATAGTGTGAAAGGTACAACTAAATGCAAAAAAGAAACAAGAAATCAAAATGGAAAAAATAACATCACTGCACAATTGATTCATTCAATAAGTGCTTATACAGACATATATGTCTAAACTAAGTCAAAGTCATTCTAGGCAGCAATGGTTATTGCTTAGAAAGAACAATGCAATAATGTGACTACGTGGGAGGATTTGCCTTGATCTAGAGCTCTTCTAAAGAACTTATAAACACATTTTATCATCAAATGACCATATAAAACATCCATACTCGTACAAAACAAGCATCAATACGAGGAAGTACCTCATAGGGACAATACCAAAAATGTCCCCTTCTTAGTAATTAGTCCAGGAAACTCCCAATCACCCCCTATTAGTCAAACGTCAAGGCAATAGAACATGAATCTATAATCCTTATTGAGACTCTGACAGATGCTGCGGACGAATTACACAGAACCGTCAGGGTGAAATTTGCTGATTAACATTTATGTTTGTCCACACATGGATGAGAGAGCCTATGTTATTGCCAAAGCATGATTTAATATTAAAGGAGAAATTTTTAATTAACTTTTGCCCTCCCAAAAAAAAATGCCAACCCAAAAGTATAAAAGGCATAATCTTGGAACAGTTGGAAGGAGAAAAATTATTAAGTTGAGGTTGATTTGATATATCCCATTTAAAATTCCTCGATCCGCCACATCAACTCTAAAGTCAATTTACAGGTTGAGATAATTGTTATCAGAGGCCAATAAGTCCACTCCCAAGCTACCCCTGGAAGTAATCTAGATTAAGAAGAAGCAATAGTTCTTAATTCACCTCCTCCATTACCCAAATCAACATATCATGAAATTCAAGCCTCGCCCTCGAAAATTAGATTATGGTCATGGCAATTGGCAACCAAACCTTTCACAAATTTGTCCTCAGCAACATCACAATCAAAGTTCTATATGATCATCTCCACCAAAATACTAGGCGATGAACATCAAGCTAGTATTAAACAAATCTTCAAAAGCTGCCCGCCAGCATCAAACTCATATATTAGCAAACCCTAATAGTCTAATTAAACATAAAACATTAACACAATTTCAACCTAGCAATCCCAAATTATCAAATTTTAACTGCAATTTAACCTTATCCAAAACATCCATACTTCAAAATTTTAACCAATTCCCAAAAAAATATATCAAAAAAACATTCGAATTTAATCAACAAAACATAATCTTTCGTTCTAAAATAACAATATACAAATTCAGCAAAGTAACAGCCACAAAAACAAAAAAATTTAAAAATCAGCATAATAACAAAATAAAATCAAATAATTGAAACAAAAAAACTGACCTGGATCTGAACGAATATGGCAATGGGGGTAAGACAAGCTCGACTAGCAGCAAACAAAAACGAATCAAGGGATTCTAACGCAGCCATTATAATTTCAAGCAAATAATTTTAACAAAAAAATCAAAGCTAAAAATAATCAGCAAAAAAAATCCCAAAAATCGTGTAATTCGTAAATTAATGTAGATTTATGATTGTCCCTCTTCCTCTCAGATCGCCATTAACGAAAGAATTCGATAGAGCGAGAGGAGAGGAGAGAGAAAATGAGAGAGACAGAAGGAAAAAAAAATTAAAAATGAAAAAAATGTTTGTTTGAGAAGAGAGAGAAATTATTGAACCGCCCAAATTCTATATTTCGAAGTTGATTTCCAAATTAACCACAAAGTCAAAATTAGCGTTTTTAATTAGGGATTTGACAAAATTAATTACCAACAGAGAGTTAGGAATGGACTCACTGTCGTGCGTCGTCGTGTTACTAGTGTAGTGTTTATTGTACGGGTATCTAATAAATAGTACTCCTCCGTCTCATTATAATTTATACTTCTATTTATACTAAATATACTTTATAAATATTATACATTAATCTATCTATCTATAGTAATATACTAGGTTAAGTCCCGTGTCATGCACGGTAATTTTTAATATTTAATACTTATCATTAGTTTAACACTATTATTTAATTATTAAAAATTAAACCTAAAATAGGATGAAAGATCTGTAATTACAAAAAACAATTTTAAAAATTTATCACACTAAAGAAAACAGAGACAATAATATATGCACGACTCATAAAAATAACTATGAATTACATTACAAAGTTATAAACTATTATTGCATATTATTGTATAAAAAAATAATATCTTTGTTTAAATGAGTACAAATAGAATATACTTATCAAATAGGAAATGAAATATTATTGCATAGTTTGTATTAAAAACTTCTCTAAGAAGCTTTGGCAAAAAAAAAAAAAAAAAAAAACAAAACTTTTGGAGGGAATATTTTTAACCAGGAAATGACATGTGTCATTCCTGGTTTCGCCTTTAGTATAAAGTTATAGATAGATAGATAGATAAAGAGAAAAGGCTTTTTGGGTGATAAATTTCACTATTCCCAAATTGCTCTTCTCAATTTTCAATATCACCTCTTTTATTCACAATTAAAATAAAAAAAATAAAAATTATTTTTTATAAAAAAAAAACTAAAAATAACTACTTTTTTTTTTAGGGAAAATAACTACCTTATCATAACTGCTCTCACTCATCAATTTAAAAAAAAAAAAAAAAAAATTGCTTCCACTCCCTATAATAATTGAAATTGCTCTTAATTATTTTACCTTTTACACAGGAATTGATGTCAAAGGTTCAAATTTAAGCCAAATTGATAGAAGGCTTTAATTTTTTTAAAACAATAAAAAAATATTCCATAAGTTTAGCAACATTTTATTTCATAATTTTTTTTACTAATATATATATCAACAAATATTTATCATTTTTATAGAATAAAGATGAGAATATAGCCTAATTAATTTTCTATATTTCACATACACACACGCAATGCGTGTGTTTCTTACCTTGTAAATGTAATCCTCCGCCTCATAATAATTTATACTCAATATACTTTATTAATATTATACATTAATAAATATATACAGAGTAGATTGCTAACCTTTGTGAATTGGTATATGTGTAAATTTGAATGTGTGAATTATTGTATAATGAAGAGATTAGTTATGAATTAATTTAACGCGTTTAGAATTTTAGATAAGTATTTGGAAATTTGGATATCAACTATTTTAATATTGACTCATATAATTGTACTTGATTACTCAATTTAAATTACCCTATTTGGAAGCTGAACTTTTAATGAAGTTGTTTGACACGATTTAATCAGAATCTAGTGAGTAGCTCGGACGATGTCCTGGGTTGCTACTTTTGTAATCGTGCCATTGAAGTATTTTTTTAAGGATTTTGAAATTTGAAATCGATATTTATTGAATTTTTAAAAAAAAATTCATGTGGTTGACACTTATATACATTTCGATCTTTTACATATTTATAACATGCTTGATAATAGACTAAGATGGTTAAATAGCCAACTTTGTTATAATTGATTGGATGTTCGAATCCCCTTAACCTTATATTAATAAATGAAGTAATATGGGTTGCTTAGGTTATGTGGTATAACGATTAAGGGCATGTTCCGATTTACGGGACGTTATATACTTATATTACCTCCGTATTTCTTTTATTGCACCATAAGGACTTTTACACTATTCACTGAATCTTCTTTGACCATCTTTTGTAATTTATCCATTAGGAAAAATATAGTCATGTGTGATCTAGTTACATTCGTCTCGAAATCTACTTATTGAATATCAATTTTTTATAATTTTTACAAAAGTAAAATTAAAGATATTAATAGTCAAAGTAATGCAATGACAAGCGTGAAACCCTTTATGATGCAATAAAAAAAGAACATAAGAAGTATTAGTATAGATTGATAGCAATGGATTTTTTTTTTGAAATAAAATTGATTCATAAATAAGTCATACGACATTTACAAAGAGATTTAGATCTAATAAATACATAATAATTGAATCAAATAAAAATATTCTGTAAGCAAAGCTACGATCATTGTTACAAATAGTACATTCTTCATACCCTCTTTCATATCGCTATGATTTACAGCCTTCTTCGGCGAGGGGGTCTATCGATCTGTTGTAGCCGTGCAGAAAATTTCCGTCTGATTCGTTCGATTGTTGTCGAAATATTAATCTCTTTTTCAATCCCGCACAAAATTTTACCCATGAAACAAATATATAGCAATCCATGAAATAAAAAGGCAAATCCTCCTTCAAAATAGAGAAGAAAAACCCGGTCTTTTGAAGGATCCAAATCCTCCTAAAGAGGAAGAAAAACCCTGTCTTTCGAGGGAGAAATATTCCTCCTAAAAGAGAAAGAATTATTATAAACCTAAAACAAGAAAAAAAAAAAGTACAAAAGAAACAACGATTGGGGCTTTCCACCGATTAATCCGATGGAAGCCCCTACAAAATTCAACGATAGCAATGGATTTAATACTCTATAATGTTTAGCCTATTTATTATACTTATAAGTTATAATCTTATATGCAATTAAGCCAAAATCTTACCAAACCAACCTAAGCCACATCATCATCACAAGCTGACAATATTTGTTTATCTAGAAACAAAAATTTTATTTCTAAAGCTCAATATACTTGTTTCATCAACACGTAATATTAATAGAGTACCTAAAAAACACGTATAATATTAATTATTTGTAGCCTATGTTTTCTTTTTCTTTGGAGTGTTCGATTTTATTATAGCTAGGTACTTCAAAACTATGGTATCAAACTTAGGGCCTGTTCTCATATACTGAACTGAATTGAAATCAACTGAACTGAACTGAATATTTTATAAGAGAAGGAAATTAGGAGCTGAACTGAACTGAACTGAACTGAGTTGAGCTGAAATGAACTGAATTGAACTAAACTAAACTGAAAATAAACGTATGAGAACATGCCCTTAATATTATGATTATGATTATGGTTTATGAAGCACTAATTGGCACGTGGGAACTTAATGTTAAGGGATGAAGCGTGTGAGAATGAGTTGGAGTTTGGTGATTATAGGAATGAATGGCACATGCATGAAAACCCAATTATAGGGGTTGCTTTTCTTGAAGAAGATGCTACTTTATGATTCGAATCCTTGACTAATCTTCAATCACATACATTCCTGTCATCAATCATCATTGTTGTTTTCCCTCGTATGAATAATAGAGAACCTTCTTATTCCCTATGTTGTTTAGGTTTCTTAGTACGAAGTATGTAATTATCTACTTGTATAGTTGTATTATTACATAATATGTAGTATGAATTAATTAATATGTTCTCAAATTCCATTTACATTATTCACTAATCACTATATATATCATTTATCAATTTTTCGTGATTTATACGTTAACGCGAATATATTTATATGAGATGGTATTAGACCTTTCATGATACGTACTTTCAAGATATTAGAAATTTATACTTGACTAATTTACTTATTTGTAATTAAAATAAGGTTCTAATTCATTTAGCTTATTTAAAATTATTTCATTAGAAATAAGTTTAGATAAAGAATTAAAATAAAATAAGTGTATATATATATATATATATATATATATATATATATATATATATATATATATATAGCCTTTATTTGAAAACAGATGGAGTATAGAAGGTGATATTAAAAAATATATACCGACATACATACATTGAAACTAATTAACACCTAACAAAATGAAAATTGTACAGTGGTCGTTTGAAATATGACTATCATAATATTTTAATAATTATATAGTTCATAATTAACGTATTTTTATCCAAGTAATTAATTACACAACTCTATTTTTTCTATAAAATATTATATCACATTTTTTTAATTTATCAAATTTTTAGTTTTATTTATGTAATTTTTATTCTTATTTTATAGTTTCTCGAAAAAATATTTATTTTAAGTTTGATTGAAATTTTCAAAAATTATATTTGCATTGTAGAAATTAGAATACTAATTGTGTCCAATTTATAGTGTGAAAAAATGAATCGCCCATATTATTTATCATTAAAATAATAAGGTAGTCATATTTCAAACGACCACTATAGAAACATCAATCAAAATATAATTTATGATTACTTTCAACACTATAATTATTATAGGGGTTATTGGGTTATTTTGATATGAAAATCTATAAAGAATAAAATCTACTCGATACAAGTAAATTAAAGTGCTAGTCCCTTCTTGTCACATATTAATATGCAATCAAATGCCAAAGTTACAACTAACTGGGCAACTCCATCTCTAACGTGAGAGTTTAGACGGTTACATTTGGGCTAATAAAGTATTCCATATTTTTATTTATCTGATAATAAATACACCCAAATATATAAAAGAAATTTCACGGCTCGGAAGCTCATTTTATCTTCAAAAGTCCTAATGAACAAATCATCAAGATTCAAGACCTACCGCCAAATGACACTACTATTAATCTATTATATGACAGTTAAAGGAAGGTCTAAGGAAGACTACATAACTGCTTAAAAGTGCCTAATATAGATTGATAATTGCTTACTGTAAATAATAATAGATTGATTAGTGTGACGTTCTTAAGGTCCCACTAAATTGTCATTTGTCAATGATAGTCTAATTCTACAAGTCACAAATTAAATTTTTAATTAAAGCAAATCCAATGCTAAATTGCCAGCAATGCAAGTCAACAACTACATATACACATCAGTTGATTAATAAGTATTTGTCACCCACTAATCCACTATGTACATATATACTTCGTATCTTCAAAAGATGAAGCTTGAAA